TTGGAACGCTTAACGACAAGTCATTGGGGTTGGAACTGCGCATCGATGGATTTGAATGATTCTCTGCTATCTCTTGGTCCCGTTATCTTTTTTTTTTCCAAAGGAAGACTAAGCACTTGGGAGAGAGGGAGAGAGAGAGAGAGAGTGCAATAATAGGGGAGAATCGAAGATGGACCAAAAGATAACCGGAGGATGGATATGAAAAAATAATACGAGGTGCAAACAAACGCCGAGTGGCTGTTAGACTATTTTACATTTCATGTATTCGTATGAACTCGCTGGCGCAGTTTTAGCAAAATGAGTTTAAACAAAACAAAATTCGCGCGCAGCATTTTTTGTCTTTTTCCATCTTTTTTTTCTCATATACATATGCGTATATCTTTATATATATATATATATATATATGTAATAGCAAAGACACATTCTCATAAGGACTCGTTACGTGACAAAGTATTTTATATTACGTGATAAATCAGTCTTTTATTATTGATCACGGATTACCATGTAATTACAAAGATAATTAAGATCAAGCCAGAATAAAAGGTAAAAAAAACCGAATCGTTGCTGAACGGCGCGCACGTATTTATTATTTGCCACTTAGGACTCGTGAAATACGTACGCGTAGTTTAACGTATCGATCGTATCGAGAGAAAATAAAAAAGATATATATATATATATAAAATATATGTATAGGCTCTGTTAATAAAAGGCTAAGATGATAAAGTATATATATATATATATATATATATATATATGTATATAAATATATACATATATTTAAAGTCATCTAAGTATATATATATATTTATAAATCTAGAAGATTTACAGTGGAATTTCAGAATTAATTCTAAAAGAATTAAAGGATAACTTGCAACTTAAAAATTTCTCAGTATATGTCTGCAATCATGTATTATAGGGGGAAACCATTCGATTCAATAAAAATGTATGAAATCGTGAATCACCCTTTGTAGCACTTCCTCTTTATTTCCCACGCTTGAAGTGTCGCGACGCCCGAGACGGATGTTTGCCGCTTGGCCAAGTTCGTGTTGCGTGACTGTCGCTCCTTTTTAAACTTGACGTTTTCTGTGCGTGGTGGCTCGTTACTTCAAGAAAGACGTATTACCGGCAGTCGTTCGTTTAATACTGACTTAACGAAGGAGACGAATTCCTAGGATCGTAGTCGACTCGACGGAGCAAACTTTCTTGGACCTGCGAGAAGAATTTCTTTTGATGATCGATTTTCTTTGACGATGGTTATACATTTTTACATATTTTAGCACAAAGAAATATTTACGGTTCGGTACCTCTAGAAGTGCTTGTTTCGTTTTACAAACGAAGGAATAAATAACGTCTATTGAAATATATTAATAAGTATTGCGTTAATTGGTAAATGGACAAATTATATATTTCATTGACAATAAATAAGGCGACCATTATCGTTTGTCCGTTTGTGTATACGTATACTTTATTTATATAATATAGAAGGACTTACTTTATAAATGTAACGCTTTATAGATTCAAGATTTATCAACCTGCGAGGGGTCTGAGGGGATCCTAACTAGGCGGATTGCATTGCACGTGAAAGACGTTTGGCTCAGTGTTATGATTTATAATTACAAAGTTAATTACGTATTAAGAATAATTGAAAGAATCGTATAAAGTATCAGGTGATTTTCATTTATCCTTCATTTTCTCCAGAAGCTCCTTCTTGTCCTTCTGGCTTCGTTCCTTTATCATCACAATGATTTAATCTGAGCAAAACAAAATAGTTAATGAATCTTTATCAATGTTACTTACTAATTCTTATCACGAGAAATAACGGGAGACAATTATTTGTATCCAAGTATCTTATAAATGGAACAATTGTATAGATAACGTATCTATGTCCTTTGAGCCTGTCGCCATTAGGATTTGTAACTGGCGAGGAAATAATCTTCAAGGGATCATAAACAATTAGTTCAATAATGATAATTATTTTGAAAAAATAACAATAGATAATTAATTGATATCTAAGAATAAACAGTATCTATAGTTTACTTATATAGACTGATATGCTATAAGAATATAAAGAATCGCACAATAAAATCGATCAATCATATTAGATAAATGCGAACCCCTAAATGAAAGGCTTTAATGTAAAACTAATAACCGGTGGTAAATAAAAACTGATATTACAAGTTTTCTAATAGAGAGAAAGAAGATTATAAATTTGTTAGATTGATCGATACAACAAGATCCAAGAAAAAAAAATTGAAAAACAGACGATGCTGTGGCTGTTTTACGAAGGAGAACAAACCACCCCTCGCGGCCCCTAATACAATATCTTTTTATTCGATATCCTGCTAATCTAGCGATAACAAAAAATATAATATTTTACAATATCGTTATATTATCATTATTCGTTAAATAAACTGTTATTTGCATGTTGAGGATGCATGGTGATAGAGCCATGACTATTGGCAGACTTCGATCACTCTTCTCGAAGGACCGTCAAACACTTTTTGAGCAATTCTGCGTGCGTCTGTAAGTAGATTGAATTACTTTTAATACCTACCAATCAGTAGAGTGAATCCCTCCCCAACGTCCCACCGTTCTCACCACCCATTGTTTTTATTGCCACCCTAAATTCTCTTTTTATTGCATTCGAAGAGAAACGTTGAAGTAATCGAAGTCGTACCTTGGCGTGTTTAATCTCCAGTTCTGTGAGTTCTATAAGATTCTTCTTAAAAGCAGCAACGCGTCTCGTCTTGAAATCCGTTAGTTCTAAAAGTACAAATGATATTTACATAATCGAAAGGATTTAATGGCAAAAGATCTGAAGCTAGAGTGGGACCCACCTTCTTTGCCCTTGTCGGACATCTGCTCAAACTTTTCGCAAGCTTCGGTCTGCGCCTGTTCGGCCTTTGCGAAAAGACGATGCGATCAATTAGAATTAAATAACGAGGAGCAGAGGATGGATAAGTTAAAATGCGGCAGCGTAATATTCTTTTCTTTTTTTCACGATTTGATAAAACATTGTTTTTGCTCCCCTAGTCATTCCATAAATATCCAACTGCCGAGGCAACGCTAGATTTAATTCCGATATCAACGGATTCTACGATTTATACAGCTTAAAATAAAACTTTTTCTTTTTTCTTCGATTCTTTTTTAAATAGGCATGCAAATATATCGTTTATTAAGCTGACAAAAAGACACAATGCATATACGGAAAAAGACACACCTCTGCAACCTCCAGAGCCTTCAGGAGCAAGAAAAATCAAATTTATCCATTAGAATTTGTCGTGTTTGTTTTGCGCACTATAGTGCTACCTACCGGACGATAAAGTCTGGGCTATATAGAATATTTTTATTACATTATTCGCGTCTAGGGAATACAGATATTGTTCCCGATATTACAGACATTCTTTTGTTATTTCATTTCACGAGTTTGCCTCAGCGCACCGTTTGCTTTACCGACATAATAGCGGATTCTGCGAAAACCGAGAATAATAATGTTTTCGTTTTATTGACTTACCGCGTGAACATCCTTATTTTTCGCACGAGCCTTTTCCAGCGTGCGATTCGCTGTTTCGTAGGCGTGCAACGCCTTTAATCTTCGGAAGAGCAGCCTTTTTGCGGCTGCCGTATCTCTCATGTAATAACGAAGAGTATCCGACAATTTGAGATCCTCGTCTGACGCTACGCGTCCTTCCACTTTCTGTAAACGTAATCGAAAGAATTGGATGAATAAAAAATTGTGCAAAATTAATTGTGCTTCAATTATTACTATATGCGTTGATAACAAACGATGATTCTTACCCTCAATTTCTCAAAAGTCTCTGCAATTTTAGTGAGAAACCTTTCCAATTTTCCAGTATCTATTATAGCCAATTGAAGTAAATTAGTTGATATTTTTATGTACGAATCTGCAACGTCTTTATGTTTTGCTGTCTGTCGGTCAGCACGACTTGTTGCTTCTTTTAGATTATGATGGTATTGCTGTAGAAATGTCATTTCTTGATCGAAAAAATCATTCACATCCTTCACAGTTGCCGAAAGATAATACTCGTCTGTCGTTTTTGAAAACGACTTCACCAATCCACCAAACATTTCCATTTTATTCTTTCCTGAAAGTAATATCACCCATGTAAAGATGTCACAGGTTTAGTTTAATCAATCGATATCTACCTCTTACGCAGAGATCTTGATCATATTCTAGGAACACTCTAAGGTTATGATCATTTCGAAACACTGGGTGATGAGCAAGTCTCGTAAGGAACATTTCATGCATTGCTACTGTCTTTTTAAAAGTAGCTAGATATTCTCTGGAAGAAAAGTAAATTTGTAATTCCAAACTTTCAAGTTAAATGAAGTAGAGACACAGCGGACTGCGTAAATTCAACATGTAATAAATAAACATAACTCACGCTTCTAATTCTTGTTTCATTTTTGTAAATTCTTCTCGTGTCATTGTTCCTTCGCCCTCACCCAATTTTTGTAATTTTTCTCTTGAAGCATCAAAGTCAGGTCGAGGTGGCACTGGTGGAATCTATAAAGTACATTAATAATCTGTGGTCACAGCTCAATGGAAAAGTAATGATTCCAGCTGCATGAAAGCTACATATTATATAAAAAAAAAAAGAATACGATCGAATAAGAATACAGATAGTAGGTTAATCAAACTTGAGATGTGAAGGGGAACAATGTAATAAACATTTAATAAACCATAGACAACGTACAATATACCCAGCATACTCTTCGTTCTCCTCAAATCGATCATGAAGCCAGACAAATTCCTCATGCTGCCTAACCACAAGGAACTCTGGTTTTTGAAATTCAGGCAAAGTAGTCTTGGTATGCACAGTAAATTTAACTTTATCTTTTTCACTGAGCGCATCTGAAATATCCACCTGCAGTGACTTGTCAGACAAGTCAACAGTATCAGCATGAATAGTCTGTGAAAGGTAAGATAACAACCATGAAATATATAAATAAATTCATTTGAAAGAAGCAGAAAAAAGTACAACGCAATAACCAAGTGTAATAATTGGGGAAAAAAAACGAGCATCAATAGCAAAAGACTTAAACTAACAGAAAGAATCCAATATACATACCTTTTTAGGAGGTGCACTATTTAGTATATCCTCAGTCTCGCATATTCCGTCCTGCAACATGATTTGCCACTAAATATCAACAGTCTTCGGAAGCAAGCCCTCAAACTAGAGTATCTCAATTTTAAAGATGAAAAATTGGATATACCGGATGACCGGTTGGCAAATGATAACAGGTTCCACCTACCATCATGGCGTCAAGCAGCTTCTTGTCACGAAGCAACTGTCAAAATATACCAAATGAAGTGTCAAAAATATTTTGTCGAATAATAATTCACTACTCGAAACCCGTAGAGACACGCGTCGAATAACTCTCTCGGCCGCGGAGAATATGGCTCACGACATTTCATAGAGAGGAAAAACAAAGCTATGCCGACGTATCAGCTGTAGGAAGGAACGTAGGCGTAGCTAGATGCTTGCGTATATGCTAATCAAGCGTATTCGAATAGCGATAAATAAACACGTATATATTATTTGTTACAGTGTGTGGTTATAGCTTGCTACACACGAAATAAATGATACACAGGGCATAACACACTGGGCCATACGGGCTCAAGGCGAACACATCCACGAGCACTTCGGTGTTTCCAAACGATTCCGAAAGATAGCCTTTAACATGGCCTTTAGCCTCCGATGAATTCCAGTTGAAGAAATCATCGCGCATGCATTCGGACAGTCTGTGGAAATACGACTCCTCCAATTGGCTGTAACTTACAATTTTCATTAGACAGAATATTATCTTTGGATACAAATATTTCGTACTTTTTGGAGAACAGCTCGCAAGTGGTTGAAGGAAAAGTAAAGAAAGAATATCCTAAAACGGGGATAATCCACGGGTCAATTCATAAAATTGGTATATATTATTCGATAATAAAGATACAAGCATGATTAAAATTTAAAGCACTGATTCGCATGTAGGTAAAATAGTTCTTATAGTAATTGGACTCGAATCATTACTAAGCAAGAAACGCAGGTATTTAAATGTTTTTTTAAGCGCGACCTTTAGAAATCTTGATAAATCGATTACCGTCCATCTTGACATCCTTGATCATTATCTCTTTTTAATGTTCAGTAAAATTACTTCCTCCTTATTATTGACTAGTACTATATGTAATCGTTAATTGTAAAGTGCTACCAATGTGCGCTAATCACTTTTACTGAACAAAACTCTATAGATCTCGCAACGATACCGCTTGATTAAGATCTAATTTATTTATATTCGCTAAACGCATTTTTTGTTAACGGAACAACATTTTTATGGATGATTCAGTGTTTGCTAATATCGCATATATTTTATCGGAGCTGGGACCATGCAAATTATCGCTTAATAAGTAGCACACCTATATATTCTAGTATCGATTGAGAATTTTTTCTTCTTTTTTCACTGCTAAAGTATGAAATTGGCGAATCGCATAATTTGAGATCATTTTGAATTATTTGCTCTTTCTTTGTTGGACTATATTGAATGGGTTTCTATTATATTTTGTTTTACGCTCATCATCTATCACAAATAATAATACCGCCATTACGTAATTTTCTAAAAGTTCCTTCAAGTTCAGTTGAGTGGAACATTGATGTGGTTACATAGGACTCCAAATAGGAGTGATTGAATTTTTTATCTTTTTCATATATTCGTCATTTAGATACATCAATAGTACATACATATACATATTGTCGCGCTAGTTAAACGAGTGTAAATCGAAGCGCGAGGACTTCGGATCAGAATAATAGAAATTCACTTTGCCTCCATAGGATGCCAATAGTTCCAAATGATTCAATAAATGTCGTTGAAAAGTATCCGTTACAAATATACAGTAACTAATGATAATTATTTGATACATTGTTCACCGCATTGACAAGAGGATCTATATACGAACCTAATATAATAAAATAACGCAGTCGACGCAACGAGAGAATCGAGCGAAGAACTGCAGAGTTCCTGGCGACAGGTTTTGTTATCTGAAAAAACTGTGAATCATTAGCCTTTATTGTATTTTATCCTTGTCTTTTCATTTTCTGTGAGCGATACACAACACGTTTGACTTAGGATATTTCTACCGTTACGTGTTAAGTTAAATTAAATAATAAATACACCAATTATCACTCGTTACCCCGAACCGCGACACACACAAAATTAAATGTACAAAGTAGAAGTAGATGTGGAAGATAGTGTGGGGGAGAGGATACGCGGGGACCAAGGGAATAGGGAATAGGGAATAGGGAATAGGATAAAATGAGTAATTAGAATCGGGATCGGGTATGATCGGTTCAGATTGGAGAAGAATGGAGCGGAGGGCAGTAGAGCCCCAGGCCCTAGCAGCACCCACCGCCTTGCGCACCGCCCTGGCCACCATTTCCGGCAAGTCCGCCGGGGCTCGTGGGCGAGTGCTGAGGTCCAATCTTGATTCCGTTTGCCTGGAAAAATAATAGCATCGTGACACACTCACGGAATTGACTGATACGCTTCCGGTATCACATAGAGCTTTGATCTTTTAATAATAAATTTGAAGATAATAAATATTGCCATGCTAAAAAGCATCCTTAGGGTTTTTGTGCTCCCAAAAAATATACTCACCTCGTTGTTTATATCGAACACGCCTTCTTGGATCTTTTCGTAAATTTCTTTGGCTGTGTTGATGAAAGCTTCTTCCACGTTAGCAGCCGTCTTAGCGCTTGTCTCCATGAAGACCAGACCGTGTTCACGTGCGAATGCTTCACCTTCCTCTCTTCTCACCTCCCGCCGCGAATCCAAATCGCTCTTGTTTCCGATTAACATGATCACCATATTCGAATTCGAGTGTTGCCTCGCATCTTCCAGCCATGTCGTCAGGTGATTGAATGTCTCTCTACGAGTAATGTCGTATACCAGAAGAGCTCCTGCTGCGCCACGATAATATGATCGAGTGATTGAACGGAATGCCTCTTGTCCTGCCTGAATCATCATTTATAAACATCAGTCTTGCCGTGCTCATTTTTAAAAGAAATATACAATATCTAAATGCATACAACACATAAAATATTGTTGGAAATACACAGATGAGTCAGAGAAAATCAGATAAAAGGCTACTACTTTGATATTCTTATGATCAAAGTACATGTACCATATTAAGATTATTTGCTTATGTCAGTCTTGGTTATAGTCAGTTCAAACGTGTAACAAAGTTATAAAAGACATGTAGGTAGTAATTACAGTATCCCAGATTTGCAGTTTGATCTGCTTGCCATCGATGGTGATCATACGTGCACCGAATTCAACACCAATGGTCAAATCATGAACTGGTTGAAATCGCTTGTCCGTGAATTGCAGAAGAAGACAGGACTTTCCAACTCCTGCACACGTTTAAAGAAAAATATTTTTTATATTAGGATACTATGAACAGCCATTCTCATTTTCATTAAAAAGTTATACAAGATTAAGGTACACCTGTTCTTAATTAGAGCATGAAATTACGTTGCACTAGCAACGGACAAAAAATTGCTGGGTCATACTTGTAGGATAAAAACAATCACAGTGTACGATACAACAATACAATATTATAGCATTATAAATACAAATGGCCCAAAAATGAATCAACTTGTTACCAAAAAGTATTAACAAAAAGAATAAATTGAAATTTAAAATACATTATTAAAAAATAATGAGCTGAAACTGAATTAATTAAAAATTCACGAAGATATACTAATAAATAAAATATCCAATGAAGAAGAAATAAATACTTCCATAATAGGATTTCGCTGAAATGGATAAAAATCTTTTATGTATTTTTGAAGAGAAATTGATATATCTTGAAACATCGAAAAATTCCATGGAGCAAAAGCATCTGCGGATGAAGAAGTGAAAATTGGTAGAATAAAAGAGAAGAAAACAATGGGAGCTGTCACGGAAGACGTAATGCGGAAGATTTGTTTTTTAGAGTTACAGGACAATGCTCAAAATACTCACCCGTATCTCCAATGATGATGTACTTGAAAAGGTATGCGTAAGACATTTTCGAAATCGTTGAACTCGTTAGAATCAAGAACTTTTTAACACGCGAGAAACCACAGTTTCAGTTTTTTAGCTGTTTTATCTCTTCTGCTTGGTCCTGACGTCATTGAATCACTTCGACTAAACTCGGCGCAATTCGTCTCATTCGTAGCGTTTTGTAAAGCGACCACTCACAAAAGTGGTGCCACAATCGCTCTGTACTTCCGCCGGAAGCAGCTGTAGCGGAGCTGTCGTTGCATTGAGAATTTACTTTTATTAAATGCTCGGTTCCGAAAGCGGGAAAAAAGAATACCGCGCTTCTTAACCAACATTGAACATGGAACGAATCAGCAGGCAGATTTCGACCCTGAAATTTCACACTTTCACGATCTAGCACAGCTAATTGAACCATGTATGAGATGCATGCAAAGTCAACGTGACCAAATGAGTTGGTACTTCTTGACTTCTATCCACAATAAGTGAAAGTGAAGACGCAAAGAAACGGTATGATTTTATTTCAACGAAACACAACTTATGTTCAGGATCTTAAATCAAATTTTAATACTATATTCAATTGATTTCAAAATATATCTTCTCATTTAATTGATGTCAGTACAAAATTTCTTGGAGATAATCGTGGATCAAATATTGGCGTAAGCGTGGGTGCTAAATTCTTTTCGGAAAGAAATAAAAATCTATCGAGTAAAACAACAGTTTCCACTAAGGGTGCCAACATAAATCGTAGAGAACTAAAGGCGACGGCTCTCCACCAAGATTTTAAAAATTCTGTAACGCACGGTTTCTTGAAGTCCGAATCATTCGGTTGATATTCTGATGGTAAATTTGCAGTAGCCATCTTGCAATAGCTAAAAATATACATCGCTCTTGAAAAATAATCACAGCAACAAGAATATCCAAATAATGATAATACCAACCATTCAAAAGTAATGCCTCTGGTCACTTTTACACTTTTTAGATGAGCGTGTCGCAATTTCTCGTTCTTTGCAACTAATATACTCTCCAATGCCGCTCTATATGCATGAACCTGAAACACGAATTAGGGTCACTTTTTGTAACATTAAAATTATGCAAAAACGAATTACGTCGACGAAATTGAACATCTAAGTTTCTCAAAATAAATGCATTACTATTAAATCCTCGATTTTGCCCGTCTTCAATTTATCGCAGTAACTCTCAATAGCGTGGCAACCCACTTCCAAGGCAGTATACGATAGACTATTATTTTTCAATTGCGAAAGATACCTGCTAAGCGGATATCCTCTTGGCTTTTCTTCGGTTTCCCTAAAACCCAAAAATCCTTCAATTACCTGAATCCAATAAAAATCGTCTTCAAACTATGATTTACTCACTCAAGTGTAAGTTTCATATAACAACAGCCGACGATACAAATAAATTTGATATTCTCCTGCTCCGAATATAATCTTAACAAAGTAGCTGCTAAATCACCGCAAGGGTGGAGACCTATAAAACCAAAACCTTGTCTGTCTGCTTTAACATTAAAGCGATTATTAAATATTTCATTGATACAATCAGGTAACTTCGTTCTCGTGTCGCTCGACGTATTTACTTCGAGTGTAACGTGTTCAGGTTTCTTTCCTTTAAAATCAGGCAACGATTTGCGTACAGTGATGAAAAATTCCCCATCGCATTCTCTAAAACATAATAAGTCTTTTATAATTATTAATTTCACAGAAAAGCATGGGTACAATCTCCCTACTAAAATACCTCGCTCTCCGAGAAAGCGACTCTTGCTGTTCTATGCAAAGAACACACAATCCATATTTGTAGGCCAGAACTCGTGCCAAGTGTCCCATCCCGGCGCCCACGTCGACAATACGTTCAGAATCCGCAGCAGATGCGCAATCGGTGGCAATCTAAAAATTAAAATTGTCTTCTATAATTAACAGTGCGAAACAATAGAAGCCTTCCAGGAAAGTATAGACTCTCGTCATCGTGCCAACCTGAGCAATCTTTTCGATCTCGTGACGTTTCTTCATCTTGACGTGCTTCGTAAAATGATTTTGCAATTTTAAAAGCGTCTCACGACTGTTGCAGCCATTGCTCGATCGAGTATTGCTCTCGTTCTTTTCCATGGAAATACGATCAGGATTTACGACCTTGCGCAGGTTCAGTCCATTACGACACTGAATAATTTTGGGATTGACATGATCTCTGTTAATTCCAAAACTCCATATACATTTCCGTAACGCCAGCAAAGTCAGCGGCCACGAGCGTTTGCTTAAATCACAAGAGAAAGTTATTAAACGACTCTTCAACTCTGTACTTCATATACGTATGGTTACATGCACCATCTAAACCACTATAGATATACATGTGTACACACCTCTGAGATTCTCCCAGTAACCATGATCCCAATTCTTCCGGGGTTACGACTTCCATAATGTGACGCCATTCTATCGGTAGTTTATCCCATAAATTTTCTTGAAAGAAATCCTGAAAAAAAAGATCCAAGAGAAATCTGATGAAATGAAGTTATCCAGAGAAGATTCTAGAGCAGTTTACACGATCCGGTCGGAGTGTCATCACACTCATCAGTACTCAGACTCCTTTCCTATTTCGCTCAGAATGTACTCAGACGAACTCTGGACATTCTGAACGCTTTGAGCGCTCGTAATTTCCCGCGAGCGCCAAGCCGTCGTGTCGGCGTCCCGAGACTCTCACGCACCAAAAGCGACCTAATAAGCACGGCAATCTACTTAATTGCCTTGTTCATGGCACAGTGCGCCGCTCTGTGTTCACAGATGAAACTTATACGGATAGATGACTACGAGAGAATAGGTAGTTTCGTAATTCGTTTAAATTATACAGACCACTACGTAGGAATCCAGCAGCCATCCGTACACGTCCAGAAGTCGCAAGATTTGTTGCAAAGCTACACGGGATCCCCGACAGACGCCGCAGGCGCACTCGTGAACGTCTGTAGTCGCCATAGTAACTACCACAGGTTATCTCGAACCGGGAAATATTTGAACAACTCTTTTCTTTTTACTTTCGTTCGTAGTAATTGTCAACGTCAATATTTAATATATGCATTTAGAATAGTCAGTCACACGTAATATGGTTTAAGCGTTATAAAATTATGAAAGATGATTCTAACTATTTTCGCTATTAGAACGTATGGCTTACGAACGCATGAAAGATTTATTCAGTTTATTTGTTAATTATAAAATCCAGTAGAGTTCCTACGTCCCACTTTGCAAGCACTTTCACTCTTCAACAGTTACGTTATTACTCGGTAGGCCTCCTGCTCTCGAAGCGCTACGTAGTCTACATACATAAACTGTCTATCCGTGTAAAGGGGGAATCGCAGTACTTGACTCTTCATGAGTTCTTAGACTCAGAACCCGAGCAAAAAAATGTAATCTTTACCATCGGCAGCTGGCGTAATTATCACTACAACGATAGGTCTGGCACCATAGTAAGAGAGGGAGAGAGAGAGAGAGAGAGAAGAAAGGAAAAGGGAAGACAGAAAGTATTTGACAACAAGGCACCACTGGCATTTGTCATTTAGAATCGGTGAGTAAAAGTGCCTATAGCAACATTATGATTATTTCAGTTTCATCCATTTGAATCATTAACACATAAAACTTTCTTAATAAAAACAGAAATCGTTATGATTTTAATGACCGATGATCCTAAGCAACTGAGATTACTCCAAAGGAAGGAAATGGAACGATCAAGTGGATAATATGAATTTCAAAAATTTGCTAATAATTTCTTCTTACAAGAATCATATGGACCTCTTACGGCAGCGTAAGTGAAAGTTACCAAGTAGGACGCGGGACTTGGATCTCTCAGGTGATGGTGGACGTTCGCCAAATGCTCCAAGACGAGTCTCTTCTGCCCAAGGAAGATCCAGCGATCGAGCGGCAATACATTCCTTCAAGATTAACTCCGAGGATGTATGAATTCCGTGAACTTTCGAATCGGAGATCATTCCCTGAGGCTGCAGTCCGTGTCACCGTGGACCGAAAGTAAGGAATAAGTTTGCAGTGGACCTCGGAGCGTTTCGCTGGAGAGTTCAAGAGGTCGACAAGACAAGGACGAAAGATCTCATGAAGAAATAATGAAATATTAATAAACTAGTTACGGCTCAGTGAATTAGGATTCTACCCGTCAGTCTATTAGATTACTCTACGTCTATCAGTCTATTTGGATTGATCTGCGTTAGATCAGCAGGTTATTATTATTCCACCAGGATCTCTACCTTTCGTAACCGTCTGCTTAAACAAATTAACGAGAATATAACGCGTTACGCTCACTCGAGCTTACATATTCCTGCCTATAATTTAGTGGAAATCTTGGAAAAAATATATACATCACTAAGCATAATAACCGTAAAAGCTATAAAAACGTATAAATACATAGAGCGGAAATTCATCGTTTTATAACGAAACTTTACTTAACGCTTCGCCATCCTCGCAATTGTTAATTCCACTTAAAAGAATTTTTCACCCTAAGAATCGAAGAATGCCTTTCTACACTCTCCTTTTTTTTCACCATTAAGAGATCCTCCCACGCACAAAGGAAGCCGAGTATCCGTCTGGATCGTTTAAGTGAAACTTTCAAGTGACATCCCGTGTAAAAGTAAATATTCAAATCTTCAGTAAATTCAATTTAATTTTGCATACAATGAAGCGTCTCAAGACTGACTATGAATATTCCTATTAGAGAGTGGATATTTTCGTATGTCCTTTTGCTGAAATTCATAGGTCACCCTGGAAAACATCAGGACCATTAACGTAACACGTAATACTCAATAAGATCTTTCAAAGAAAGATGGCATGCTTAAGTTTTGAAATTTATTTTTTATTATTTTTATTTTCATACGTCTGCAGTCATGCTGGCCAGAAGTAAAGTGTCTACCTACCCGCCTAGCAGCCTGTCTACCTCTTGGCATACGTATCGCATCGAGGACCCAGCTAAGCCAGAGAAAGGTGCCCCACCGCACTTGATATTAGAGAGGAGCGAGTTCCGAGCATCTTGAGTCTTCGTAGTGGGAAGAAATAAGGATCCGATATGCTTCGCCACCCAAACCGTCTTCAGTTCTCATCCGAGACTTGATCCGAAAACGAGTAACGTACCTGGAGCATTAATCTTCTTCCTTCCCTCTTTCTCCTTCTTCATTTCCTTTTATTTTCTTTTCCCATTAGACCACCATGCCGCTTGTACCTTCCTGAGTCGAGGATCTGCTCAAGAATATCCCAGAAAGTGAAGTTGTGCCTTTTGGGAGACATTACAAAAGTTTCGTGTGAAATAGTAAAGAAAGAGAAAAGGAAGAAAAACCTGAAGAAAGTCGAGAAAGAATGCGATTCTTGAAGATGGTAATTATGGGAGTGATTATAGATTTTTTTTCCTTTTAATTTCTTGGGATTTTCTTAATCCTCGTAGTTTACTCGTGATACTTCTTCGTCGAGAGTGTTATTAGTTCACGAGGAATGTTTTCCATAAGGGAGAGCTCCGGGTCAATCATGACTTTTCTTGCACACGAGTCACTTCGTGAAATTCGAAGAGAGAAATCGATACGCCGTGTACCAGGCATACGAAATGATTCCTTGCATACATGAGGAACAGAAGTTATGTTTGATTTTAATCTACGTCGTTTACCTTAACTTGTTTAAATACCTGAAGAATATTTCGAAGCCTTACGGTATTTCTATATTAACACATAACCGGTTAACGGATCTCTTTATTTCAAACAGTCAAAGTGTGTCGTCTCGATAAGGATAGATAGTTCACGTCTATCGTCATTCATCGTAAATTTGCCCAGTAACGATTTTTACCCATTTCCATAAAATCAACATATTTCCATGATAATCAAAAATTGTATAGTACTGTAAAAAAATGCCAATTCACTGGTATCGATAATCCTATAGGTAATATCGAGGGTAACCTGACTTTACCATATCGAGAGCATCGCGGAGTGGGAATCGCTTATCAGGCAGTGGTTAACTGTCCGTTCGGCGCAGCTAGAATACCAATCGATTGGGTTCTTGTCGTGCAGGATGTCTTCTCTCGTTATTAACCGGGTCACTCGGTTACGCGTCTAATGAGCCGTTTACATTACGTTCACGGAAGCCATGGCTGTTATGACCGATCGGCAACGAGTTAATCCTGGCTAACCGCGTGCTTTTTTTCTTTTTCAGAGACACGGCCTGCTGGCCTTGGCCGCGGCCGTGGCCGTCGTCTTAGCTCTTCTGCCTAGCTTGGATGCTGCAGCTGCCACCGCCAAGGAGAAGAGCAAGACTCGTGGCAAGAGGCAGCAGATCGCCTTTTATCCTAGAAGGGGTCCAAGACCTCCACCTTATGCCGTGCAGATGGAGCCGATGATTCAGTATTCCCAGAGGGATCCACTTTACGATCCTTTGGCAAGCGCCAAGAACGATGATGGTTACTATGATGAAGCACCCTATAATTACTATCCCACTGAACCGGAACCGATCATCGAGATCATCATCAAGGAGTCGAATGAAAGCTTGCCGACTCCGGTACCACCTCCACAGCCAACACAGCCCAGACCCACCAAGGAACCTATTCAGGTGTTCTATGTGAAGTATGAGAAGAAGAAGGGCTATGGAGATGAGAAGCCAAGAGTTGTATACGATCGTCCAATACCTGCCATAACACCTGTTGAGACCCATGAAGAAATTTTACCCAAATCATCCGCACCATACGAGGAATCTGCTCCTACAGCATCCGCTACGCCATTGCCACCGATTGAACCAACCTCTACGACTACACTGAGGACTGTTATTCGACCGGAGAGCGAGGTTTATCATGCTGGAAGTTCGGGAATAAGAGTAACTTTTGGGAAGGAACAGTTACCACCGAATAATCACAATAAGCGCAGTGATCACGATGCTCCACCATCGCCAAGTTTCTCGGTTCCGGGACCAATATTTTCTGGTTCTACGAAGAGACAGCATGGACCTTATCAATCTCTTCAACCCGTTCCCCACAGAGTCGCACCTGCTTTCCCTCAACAGAGAATCGTAAACTCCTTTCCACCTCAGCAACTTCCGCCTCAGCAACAGCAGCAGCTGCAACAACAATTGCAACAGCAAGGTCTACCAAATTTCCAACAGCAACAGCAATTTCAGACGCCTCCACAAATCAGGAACCCTCAGAGACCTCAGAGACCACCAATAACTATTCAAGGCTTACCTGATATTCAGCAGAGGGTACCGTTTAATTCGTTTGTGCCGCCACATAGTGTCAACATCAATCATCCTCAACAACCAGGCTTCCCACCGACCCTTTCTGTCTCCCATCAGAGTGTTCACATACAGAATCAACCACAGCCTCCCGTTCAGCCTGGAAACTTCAATTCGGAGCAGCATGCACAACCGGCACGACAATTGCAGAATTATAAGCAGCAGGAGCAGGAGAAGCAACGATATCTTGAACAGCGCCGGCACCAGGAACTAATAAAGCAACGCGAACAACAGCGACTGCAAGAACAGCATCGACTACAGGATCAACAAAGGCAGATTGAGCAACAACGAGTTCAAGAGCAACAGCGAGTACAGGAACAGCAGCGAGTGCAAGAACAGCAGCGAGTGCAAGAGCAGCAGAGAATACAAGAGCAGCAGAGAATACAAGAGCAACAGAGAATACAAGAGCAACAAAGAATTTTAGAACAGCAAAGGCGCCAACAGGAGCAGGAACGTCAAGAACAGCAGTATCAACAGCAGCAATTGAAATTTGGCCAAACAAGTCATTCCATACAACAACAGCAGCAACAGGTGCAGCCACAGAAGGCCGGTGGGGAGATATTGAAGGCTGTACCAAAATTAGAACAGCATTATTCGATAAGAGAAAATCCTCTGCATCCTGGCCCATTCCCGCCGAATCAACTGTTGGTGCAAGCATCGCAATCACCAGAAATTTCAGGACATCAATTTGCTTCTAGCCAAAGACTAAACACGATTGAGAATCAGCAGTTCTCAAGAAACCATCAAAGCCAGTTAATTACTCAGGCTCAACAGTTGCAGCAGCTTTCTCAACAGCAACAACAATTAATTGAACAGCAGAAAGAATTAGCTCAACAGCAACAGCAATTGAATCAACAGCGGCAACAACAGCAACAATTAAAACAACAACAGCAGCAACAACTAAATCAACAGCAGCTATTAAATCAACAACAAAAGCAACAATTGAACTTGAACAAACAACATGCTTATCAAAATCCACAACAATTCTTCTCCCAAAATTTACCAACTCCTCAGCAGCAACATATTGCTTCTTCACCACCAAGATCCACGTGGGGTAGACCTATATTTCAAAGTAGCAATGGGAATCCTACACAAAAAATCTATGCGACTCCTATCAGCAATTCCCCAGATCTTAACATATCCTCGACTACCGCAAAATCCATTATCAGCAGCACTACGATCAGCAGCACTACTACAACAAGACCCAGCTCAAGAATTCCTGAAGATACAACAACAACAACGACAGTGTCACCAAAGAATGAAGCCAAAATACAAGAAAACATTGCTAATCTTCCCGACGAAGTGCCAGAGGACATTCGGCAGCAGTTGCTGAGTAGCGGCATCCTGGGTAACGCCGATATTCAGATTCTAGATTACGACAAAGTCGGCGACATTCCCATCGAGAATCTACCACCGGAAGCCTTGGCGAATTTCTATGGCGCAGGTGGCGCTTCCGCATCTGCAAGCGAACAGGTGAAAACAATAGCTAAGAGACCGAAGGTCGCAGAAAAATTGCCGATTGAGAAATCAACAAAGGTGGAACAGGCTACTTTAAAACCAGGAGGAGTAGAAATGAAAGTAGTCCATTTCGATCCTAATACGGCGCAAGGACAGGCGATTGCCGATCGCCACATCAAAGACGACGCCACCCAATTAAAACCTGTAACGGTCGGAGCGAAAGACGAATCTCAATACAATCGTTATCTTCCTTTAAAAGTCAGCGGCGCATCCTTTCCAATTCCTGACGTTCCTGAGCTAAACGGCCGGAAAATTACTAGCGTGGTTGTCCTGGCACCGGTCGATTACGATTTTCATGACAAAGATTCGGAACAAACTCGTCAGAGTAAAAAGGTCAATGATGTACAGGCTGTCCACTTCTTGGCTGGCGACACACTCAAGCAATTGGTCAAAAAACCAAATGCTGAAAATTACAAAAAGTGGCTGGAACAAGAAAGTCGTACGGAACCACAAAGACAATCGGTTGTCCTCTTGGTAACCACGTGAGTGTCATAAATATTCCTTTGTAAAACAAAGCTCTATTCTTATTCTAAAACAAATTTTTTTTTACAGACCAATGGATGATTCTCATGGAGAGAAAGAAATATATATGTACGACGTAAATTCCCAGGCTGTCAGTAAATTGGCTGGCGATTTATCTTCGGCTTTCGTTGACGCAGCTGAGAGCAATTCCGATGGTTCGGAGTCGATGGATGATTCCACTACCGCATATCGAACGTCTAATTAGACAAATCAATGAAAACAATCATGTACATATGCGGCAAGGATGGTAACGATTCGCGTGCCAAAATTTAACCCAAAACGAAGCCTCGAATAATGCAACATACCGGTTCGACGTTTCCTCACAGGATTACAAATTGGAACCAGAAAATCCGGCTATTAAATAAGACTTCGTTTATGAATATCTGATGTAGATATCCTAATATGTATTATTGTGTATATATGTCTGTAAAATCTTTTCTCTTTTATACTTTTTTATACAAAAATAAATACAATTTTCGAAAAGAATTACTTTTATATTCACTCTACCACCAATATTGATAAAATCCATACGTTGGACTCTATCGAATGGAAATGCCTCCCTAATAAGCTGTAATAATTATTCAGAATCCCTAATAAACTACATGAATTGTTCGTAGGAATTAATATATGTTTATTACTCAGCATTGTGAAATACTCGCTCCTGCCTTAATACTCATTACGAATAATCCCCATTCATGAAATTCTTACCCTAACGGCACTCTTCTTGTACATTTTTATAAGGTATTATAAAAACGGGAATTCTAATCCTCCTTCCATGCATCATGGAAAATGTGTCAAGCGCCGCCACCAGTGTGTCTAACGTACTCTTAGGATTTTGAATATGTCCCATTCCAAGTATACCACTTGAAGTTGCCGAAAGAGCAATTCTCTCCTCATTCCCCGCTAAAACTTAATGACATCGGACAGTAGTTAAATATTTGATCCTACATTACATGATTAGAATATCTTTTTCTAGATATAATACCTTACATTTATACGACGCAGCTGGTTCCCCCTGTCAGTGCAACGAAAAACTAATATAACAAGTCGGCTGGTACGGTCAGTATTTCTTACTATTCTGCTTTGGAATTGTACATCTGCCGCTTCGAGCGGTGCGGTGTTCTAACGAAATACGTTTAGCGGTTCTGTTGTGAGAAAAAGTTAATGTACGCTGAAGTAAAGTATTATTTGGTGTGGATATACCTAACCTAAACGGTTAACACTTGCCCGTCAGAATGGGACACAAGAAGAGAGAACGCGAGGATAGTACTTCAGAGGTTGATACTAGTGATTCAGAGAACGACAGTTCAAGCGACAGTGATTCCGAGGCGGAACCTTCGCCGAAGCACACTAAGAAATCAAAAAAATCAAAATCTCGTGGATCTTCAGAGGTAGGGAAACGATCACGAAAAAAGAAGAAGAGACAAAAGTCATCGTCTAGTAGCGATTCTGAAAATAATTCTAGTCCTGAACATAAGGCTAAGAAGAAGAGTAGTAAGAAAAAGTCAAAGGCTCACGAAAAGTCTGAATCCTCAGACAGTGAATCGAGTGCTAGTAGTGATAGTTCCAGTACTAGTGAGGAAAGCTCTAATGAAAAACAGGAAAAAAAGCTGGAAAAAAGGATTGAAAAAAGTGTTGAAATAGTTAAGAAGGTTAATAGAAAGGAAAGGATTGATGAAAGTGGAGGAAAGGATGTGAGGCATGACCGTAATGATGAAAAATCTAAATGGGACAGCCCTGAGGTTAAGGATAAAAGAGTAAGTCCAGCTACAAAGGATGAGAGGATATCTCAGCAAGAGAATCGAAGAAGAGTTCATAAGGATGGACATGACAATAAGGATGTTAGAGAGAAGTGGGATAAGAGTGCAAAGAATCCTGACCATGATAAAAGATATAGAGATTCAAACAGGTAAGCAAAGTTTTATAAGATGGTGTATACGATAAAATATATAAAAGTTATTATAACATGAAATATTTATAATCTTGTTAATGTCACAGAAGTGACATGAGAAGAGATGACGTTAGATTTGACAATCGTCGAAAGAACGACAGGATATCTCCAAGGCGCGATTACCCATCGCGAAAGAGAGAATCAGGAGAAAGATATTCAAGAAATCGAGAATCAAATGGTAAAGATGAAAATCGCAGAAAGCCTAGGCATGACACAAATGAAGGACGCAGATCTAGAGGTCATGGAGGTATTTCAGAAATCTGTTGCTCCCTTCTTACCCTTTTACAACCTTTGTTATCTAATGTAATATTAATCTCTAATGACCCCTCTGTTCCAGGTACGTTTAATTCAAATCGTGGTTCTCATGTCGAAGAAGGTCCACGAGACAGAAGAAGAGGCGAAGAAGGAAACAGAGACAGATATCCAAAAGGGAGAATGAAGGAAGAACCTTCTCCAGAGTGGGGGCGTCCCACTGTAAAGGATGAATCAAAAGCTAAACCACAGGAGAAGGAGAAACCAAACTTTGAACTTTCCGGAAAGTTAACGGAGGATGCCAACACCGTGAATGGCGTAGTGATAAAATATTCCGAGCCATCAGATGCCCGGAAACCAAAACGCAGATGGCGGCTCTATCCTTTCAAAGGAGAAAAAGCATTACCCACATTATATGTTCATCGACAATCAGCATATCTCATGGGCAGAGATAGAAAAATCGCAGATATTCCTTTGGACCATCCATCATGTTCCAAGCAGCACGCAGCACTGCAGTATCGTTTGGTTTCATTTCAAAGAGAAGATGGAGGCGAAGGCCGACGCATTCGTCCATATCTAATAGATCTGGAATCAGCTAATGGCACATTTGTCAATAACGTTAAACTCGAGGCAAGAAGATATCACGAACTTCTGGAACGGGATGTGTTACGTTTCGGATTCAGTTCAAGAGAATATGTACTTTTACACGAGCACAGCCGTGACGATGCTCTCGACGACGACGTCCCCTTCACCAATACAGCACAGGTATCTCCTCCAAAATAATTATAGCAATCGTGTCAATTCTGAAAATAATTACACGCCCTATCGCGTTCTCATCTTCAGATCAATGCTAATTTAATGCGATTTTGGTAATTCCGAAGGTTACGATTTATAGTTAACAAATTCTATGAGCAGTTTTTTTAGTTGAACCAAAATAAGTTGTAGACTTCTTTAATTATTTTAATTTACGCTCTTTATCGCTATATATTCAGGGTCCTTTAGAATTTATGCATAGAAATCAGTTGATCACACAAGCGTCGGAAAACATGTTATTTCTGTAAAAGTCCTATATACAATATATCATAAAAAAGAAAGATATGTCTGATTCCTCTATCACAATGTCAAAATACAGTACTTTTTGAGTTTATTGATATTCATATATCACGGGCCGCGAATCGGAGTCTGCACCCGTTGTAAAAATCCTCTTGTCGTTATTCCAAATATAACAAAGGTAAAAGCCTTGTTGATTTTATCCTATACGATGTCTATCGATTTGCACGGCGTATAGCGGATTATGTATATTAAAGAGCAGATTAATAACCCTGCTTTAAAATATAATGTAAAGTGATGATAAAATGCAAATAAAACGACATTAAATTGACGCGTATCCTTTGCGAATTAATTTATTTTCTTATTTACAATTATTGTCTTTAACTCTTGGTCCAAGGACAATTATTCCATCGTGACAAGTCCTTCATCTTTTACTTGCCACTTTCCCTCTTTCTCCACTGACCACCATTTTTGTCACGCCTGCATTTCCGTTTCACATTGTTCAAATGTTACAATTCCTATCGTAATTCATCGTAGATTTTCACTCAAAAGTTATGTACAAAAATAATGATTATCTACGAACAGGTTTACATGACTTATAATTAATTGGGAATTATAAACGTACTTAAGGAACAATAGATATGTGCACGTTATTTCAGGGGAATGGTTTTGTGACTTTAAACAGGGAAGACTTATTGAAAGAAGTAGCCCTATTCACACGAAAGATAAATAATTACATAAATAAATCATCGGATTCTCCTAGCACAGTTTCTAAATGCGTGAGAGAGTACAGATTTCTCATAGAGTCTACTACATGTTTTCCCACGTGGTATGTGTTAATACGTTGCTTCGCAAGAAAAAAAAAACATGGCCGATATTTATTATTTCACGTTGAGTGAAAGTAGTTGCAGTATTACGACAGATTCTGAATGAATAAGTATTTACAATGATCCTTAATAATAATTCAGCATGATTGACAGATTGCATACATTCACGTAACTGTGACTTTAAGGCAACATGGAGAATCAAGCATTCGTATGCTCGCTATAATCAAACAACATCAAACTTAGAATTACGATTGTCGGACGACTGTGTCCTTGTCGTTCCTTCTGTTTTTGTACCTTATAAAATTTGACAATATACTCAACATCTCAATATACCTTTTCAAGATCTTGTAAACTTAACAAGGTATCCTTAGCCTCTGATTTTCAAATTTGTACGTTGACAGTCGGAAGTCCTTTCCAGTACAGCCTACTTTAATAAATACATTAATTAAACGCTCCCTACTGTTTAGTATTATTGATTAACCAGTACATGGATTTTATACATGTACGTTAACATGGCAGTCATCGGTTCTCCGATAGTAAAATCAGAGAACGCTTATTCCTCTCTCAAAATAATCCCCATTAACGAGTCCACGATTGAAAAAAAGAGGTATCCGTCGATACTAACAATTATTACAAAAAACCAGAATTAGGAACGAAGATACGCTCTGTCTTAAATGTCTTTTAATAATTATATTATCACTTGTCCATCTACGAACCGTTCACTCTCACAGCATCCGAATTAATATTCGTATAAGTGACGATATCGCCGCCATCTTCGACTCCTGACGTTTGCCGTAACAATTTCAAAAGAGCACCGTTAATCACCAGCGGTATATTGGCTTTGCCATTTGGCAAAGTCGAATGGGTCCTCTGCAGCTTTGGCAAACTGTTCTTTACGTTATTCGTATCACATATTAGACTGCCTCTGCTGGTGCCAGTGGTGCTCTTCGGTGGAAACGGATTTTGGGAGTTGATTAGTGAAGAGCTGGGTCTGGTAGATGGCGCCAGGCTCACGGAGGAACTTCTCGAGCTGCAACTTCTATTTTCCAGGCTAGTTTCGGATCCTCTCTTCTGCCCTATGCTTCTATCTCCCTTCCTCCTCTCACTCAGTGAACTCAGAGAATCCCTTTTGGAAAAAGACTTGACCGCATTTCCCATTGCCGAACCGTCCAGGGTGTTAGACTTTTCTCCAATGCTCGTCACGGAAGCTCTTTTGCGTTCTGGCAAATTTAAACTGGTTACCGATGCCCTTTTTTGTCTAACCTTTTTTTCCATCTGCTCTCGTTCGTCCGACGAAGCATCGCAATGCGTCTCCGTACCCTCGTTGCTGGTATTCTCTTTCGGTTCCGTAATTGAGTTTTTCTCTGATTTCCTTAATACCGAATCTGGTATCTGAATAGATCGAGGCACTTCGTAATCGCTACGATTATCCCGCACGTCGATTTCCTCATTATCAGCTAATAACTCCAAATACTTTGGCACCTCGTTTGAGCCTAATAATGTCCCATTGGTATGGGAATCCTGTAGGAATGGTTGCATATCCCTACTTCCTTCGGAACTACTCGACTTCCATGAATTTCCTGAAAATAATTCAATGCTAGATTGTACAAATAATTTATTCACGTGCACCACAGCATATCAGAAATTTATGGGACTCAAAATTGTGGAATTATAATAAATGTCTTTTTTCGTGCATTAGGGGAGACGCGATAAGATTATATTGAATTAAAATATATATTGATAAAAAATGAGACCCACCTGAGTTATGATTTTGATTCTCGTCGGCAAAGTAAGCCATGTTAGACACGCCTGCAAGCATGGGCCATGCGATGGATCAGTATTTGTTAAAGCACAATATTAAGAAGAAAAACAATAAAATATAATATTGCAAGTTGTTAAGTCGTATCAAGTAATTAGATTTCGAGTGGCATGCTCAACACCGTAACTAACGAGACTTTACTGAACGCAAGAGAGATGTCTCTGCCAAGAACTGTTAATAAATCAGAAATAACATGTCGGACGCGAGAGAACAACATGCTTGAAGATCTGCGTGATCCATAAGATGCAGCGTTCCTATAATTATGCAGCAACCAACCTCGCCTCGCCAAATAATGTCCAGCATGAACGGGAATCAGCGTGGCGTCCTCCGTAATATTCCTCAGCGTAATCACGTGCTCCAGACAAGTCTTAAAACTGGGTCTGGAGTCTGCAGAACTCCAGCAACGCAACATCAGTCTGTGGAGTGCCGGTGGACAATTTGGTGGTTTAGGTAATCTGCCACCAGCGCGTACGTGATGCAGGACTTCTAAGTTTGTCCTTGCTGGATACGGCTGCTGGCCCAGTGACGTAATTTCCCACATGAGAACGCCAAACGCCCAGACGTCACTCTGGGAAGTGAAGACCCCGTCGACGAGTGACTCCGGAGCCATCCAACGAACCGGAAGTAGACCTTCACCCTCCTACGATTTTATTCATTAATACATTACTTTTTGAAACGTAACTCAAACTATTGTCTGTACGTACCTTACGATAGTAATCATTTTTGTAGATGTCCCTGGCAAGACCAAAGTCACCAATCTTGACCACACGATTTTCACGCTCCTTTGCTGATACCAAACAATTTCTACAAGCCAGATCACGGTGGACGAAGTGCAGCTCTTCCAAGTAGCGGCAGCCTCTGGCCACGTCCTCGCACATTCCTAGTAAATCCTGAAGGCGCAGTGCTCGAGGATCCGTCGACTGTAAGGACCGACTAGCTCTTAAGTAGCTTAATAAATCTCCAGCTTCCATCAATTCCAAGACCAAAAGTGGTGGATCCGTGTCTAGGCAGACTCCGAGGAGACGCAGCACGTGCTTATGCCTAAAGTGACTCATTAAACGCGCCTCTTGTAAGAACTCTGTTTTTTCCTGGGCTGACGCACCCTTGCGTAATGTTTTAATGGCGACTGGTGTGATACCGGGTCCATCGAGATCCTTAGCGTTTCCTCGAAATACCTAAAAAGAGCATACGATCTCATGACAAAAAAGTCCGTAGAAGTCTTATTAAATTTTATAGAGCACTGCAAGCTCAGCTGACCTCGCCAAAGGCTCCACTGCCTAAAATCTTGGCGATAGTTATTTGATCTCTTCGTATCTTGGGCAAGGAGGAATCGTCCGGGTCGTTCTGAATGGCGGATGCGTACAGTGCGTTGGACTGTACGAAATTTCCACGTGGAATTTCACGAAGTGTCGCCAACTCCACGTCCGACACCACAGGCGGTAATACTGCCTGCTTATCATCCTTACGCTGCCGGTACACTGCTGATAAACATACGACTTGTCATGTATTCGTGTATTGCCTAGATTTCTTAGTGTAAAATAATTTGAACTCACAGCAAAGAAAATAGCAAACGCACAGTAGCATTATGACAACAACAGGAACGCTCAGTCCTAAGACTAATCCAAGATGTTGCTGAGCTGCCAACATCCCACTAGAAGTTTCCGTCAGGTCGATTATGGTACTTGGCTCGCTCCAAGCACCGAAGCCATAGGCATTACGTGCCTGAACGCGAAATCGATACTTCTCATTCATTTCCCCCATTATTATCCAATAGTTATCAGTTCCGTTGTAGTACAAGACCCAGTTGTCACTTTGATTGCGCCCAATTTCCTGGTCATTCGATTCGTCTATTGATTTGCCTTCCAGTCGGTACAGCGTCACCTGAGAGCCATGTGCTTGCGCCGGTTCCCAATTTAATTGGAAGACGGAACTTCGTAATTTTGTTACAGTTGGTACACCCGGTGCACTGGGTACATCGCCTGAATCGAAAATGAAATTTATAATTCTACGGAGTATGGGCGGTTTTACTTGTCAGTAAAAGGTATACTTTACTCACCAAGTGTTTGAAACGTAAATCTGGCATCGGAAGGCCAGATGAAGTCTTCCTCATAAGTTGGATATTTTAATATTAATCGAAATTTATATAAAGTCCTTGGCTGCAGTCCATCGATGTAATACTCGACACAGTCCGTTAAGATTTTCGGACTTTTCGCAACCTGCCATTTTTCTAAGCCCACCGTAGTGAACTCTAAAACATGGCTGATAGTCAAATTGACTGTCGGCGTCCAAGAGACGTTCAAGGAATTGACGCTGACTCCTGTCAATGTCAAATTGCTGGGTTCCGGATACATTTTGACAACGTCCCCCGCACTCTCGCTATAAGCGTCACTGACATTCGCCGGATATGCTCGTACGTAGACGACGTACTCCTGTCCCGGAAGTAGTGGCTGCAGCATGGCCCAAAATAGTCCGTTCGCTGGAGCCTCTGTACTTTTTATCAGCTGCTCCCCCTTCTGTCTCACTCCATTTACCAAACGAATAGATCTCCAATGCACCTCGTACCGGACTTCGGCGCCATTCAGAATTTTCGGTGGCATCCAATAAACAGCAGCCAAGGTTGGCGTCAGAGCTTGGACCGTGACGTTTTCCGGTGTCGTCGGTGCACCAGCTTCCGTCCATAATATCACAGTGGACTGGGATGCCTCGACGTATCCGTAATGATTGCGCAAACCCAGGTCGAATCTGTACTTCGAAAATGGCTTCAAATTCGGAATGACTATTTCTCTTTCAAAAGTTTCAAACTTCATTTTGTAACTTCCTTCGCAAGGAAAATCCTCATCTTCCATGCATTTTTTCACGAGAATTGAATATAGAGTTCCAGGCAAATGATAACTCTCGCATCCCACATGTGAAAGAGGCTCTGGCAGCCTTATTTTAATGCTGCTCGCTGTTTTCGATATTTCCTCTATTTTATTCTCTTCTCCAGTTGGCACCAGGCAGTCTGACGGTGGATACGATTGTAAAGACTTTCCGATGGCCTTCATGCTTGTTACATTCGATAAGTAAAATTCTCGTATCCCCCTAACGTCTGGATAAAGTTTGTTCACAAAATATATACGGTCCGTTAACATGCTGGACCAGTAGACGTTCATCTTATCGACGGTCAAGGAGGTCGGCGGCAAACCCCTCTCGTATTCTTGATTGATAACCAAATTGCATACGCATCCGTCAATGTCGGCTATATTTAAATGACCTTCCCGAGATACCCAATAAATCACTGGATTCTGAGGATCCGTATCGTCTATTGCCATTACCGGTAAGACCGTCGGTCTATAAGGACAAGAGCAATCTTCGTTGTGATTGAAAAAGGGTTGAATATTTTTTCCGTTCAAATCCGACTGCATCATTACGCCACGGTCGTATTTCGTCTGTTCTACCCAGTAGAGGATTCTGTTTCAAAAAAATAAGGAATTAATGGATGATGCTACTAAGGATGGGAATTTTGATAAAATCGATTGATTTACCCAAATAATGGTAAAATATCCAATTTAAGCACGGGCTTTCCTGTTATCACGATACTTTCATATTTCAGGACACCAGCATCCCAAGCCGATAGATCTAATTTCATAATTCGATTTCCGGTCTCCTTGTATCCCAATTCCGTCCAAAATAGTGTTCTGGATATCCAATCAACGCACAGGCTGAGAGCGGTACTATTTAGTGATAAGATTTTAGTAGCGTTCGTCCCATCTATACCGGAAGTGACCATTTCCTGCATTTCGTTGATCCAAAAAATTTTATTCTCCGCCGCAAAATAAGCCACTTCCACGGCAATGTGTCTCGTTATCGTATAATTGACTCCTCTATCCAAATCCGATATTCTCACTGCGTCCATAGTGGCGACCAATACCTGCGGTACCGGATATTCGTTCTCCGTCGAGACCTCAATGGTATCCGTATAAAGTCCGGCACCAACTTCCGTATAAGACCTCACTTGAAAGTAGTAGGTAGTATTTGGCAAAAGATCGTGCGCGCTGTACTCCAATTTATTAGCAGCAACGTCAAATATTTCACAAACTGGGTTATAAGTATTTTCCAATGTAAAACAAAGCTTGACTGTGTAGCCTTTTATCACGCCGTTGATAAATTCTGGTGGATTCCACCTACAAAGGAATATAGGCGTCTCACTTATAATTTTCATTAAATTTGAACCGTATAAAGTCAAACTGAAAATAGTCTTACCTGAATATCACAAAAATATTAATATATTCGTGCATGGGATTTTTTTGAAATTCCACAAATCCCCGCGGATCAACTGGCTGACTTGGTACACTTTGTGGCGACCGTAGAATTTTTCTCGAATGATGTGAAGTCTCCCAGTACGTGAAGGCCTTTACGGTGACCTCCAATACGGAATAGGGAAGGATCTGTTCAGAATTATTGTACGGCATAGAAGTCTCCGTCGTGATCTCCGCTTGTGAATTGGTGTTTATATAATCAGCAAATTTGACTTCGTAAAAGACAGTTCCGTAATTGACATTCTTGACGGGATCCCAGGAGACGTTAAAATTACGCCAAGTACCGACGACTCTGATGCTGTCAAGATCGACAGGATGTGGCAGTACCACGATATTCTCTGCAGTGAGATTCATTGGATATCGATGCAGTGCTGTATCCATAATGGATACCATATGAAGACCCGACAATGTGATTCCATTGATAACAGCTGTATTCTGACCAGTCATATCGCCGATAACAGCATTTCTGTCGTCCTGAAGCCACAGCAGGTGCTCCGAGAAGTAACAGAGCGGTCCTTGCATGCTTGGATGTTGCAAAGCTGACACCTGATGATAAATTCAGATATTTAATAAAATAATACAAACAAAATGGTTTCCTTTTTTTTTTTAATAACAACCTCACGAACCTTCTCAGGTTCGATTTTATAATTCATCGGGATCCTCTCGGATGTTGGAGCTCTGTAGACCACCGATCCGCTCTCATAGCTTCTCACGATCCAATATACGTATCTGTTTTCTGTATCTAGAGTCAAACCCATCACCTGTTTCCCATTGAAAATCTCATCAGAATGATAATATCTCCTATCCTGACCATTGAGTCTGGCAACCTCCACCGCGTGTCCTGTCGACCAGTACAAATAAGCCTCCAGAGAATCTATCATTAATTCTTTAACAATGGCTAGGATCGACATTGTCTCGTGTTGCGAACCATTTAAATTGGAGCGTGTTATCTAGAAAGGGTGAAAATCACAGACTGCTTTATTTGGATGTGTAAAAAAGTGAGAAAGCAAATTTTATGTAGACAAAAATAATGATTTTTGTCAATCGACTCATCGCGATACTTACTACTTGTTGCTTTGGATTTGCCCAATACAATTTCTTGGATATCCAATCCACGGCTATGCTACCCACAGAATTAATATTCAGCCTGGTCTTCTGGTGACTAGTAATATTGTATCGATACAGAATCGAGTTATTTCCCACTAGATACAGTATGTCCTTGTACCAGGATATATCCACAATATGATATTCGTTATCAGAATCCTTCAGACTTGTTTTGTGTATAAGAGTGTCCACGTTTTCTCCAGTTACGTCACTTCTCAATAAACCTTCATTGGCAGACCACAATATGGATGCGTAGGAGCCATCCCTTGGATCACTGCAAACGTAATTTTCCAATGAAAAATCTCTACTCCCTAGGGTCTATGAAGAGACTGAAGCATATTCTACAAACTGGTAAATTTTTTTAAGTATTTCCATACCTTAAGGTTCGTCCACGAAATTCCGTAGACCACGGTCCTCTACCGGCACTGGTATATGCTGCAGCCTTAATCGAATATTCTGATCTCTCGCGCAAATGGTGAACCGTATGCGACGCGCCGGCTATTCCTTTTTGACGAATCGTCTCACCGGTTGTCTCATCCTTGATTTCCAATTCGTAGGACCAATTTTGCCAGGCACCTTTACCTTGTCCACCCAACAGATGAGGTGCTTGCCAGGATACCTTTGCTCTTTCGGCTCCTAAGACAGCCTGGACTCCAGTCGGTGGATTTACCGGTACCGGAACTGGCTGACTGGCATCCATTAAGACACTGACGCTAACGAATGACCCGTCGCGTCTTTGAAAGAAAAAAAAAAATATATATGCAATTTCCATATGCACCATTAACTTCTTGCTCGTGTCATGCATGAGTATCTTGCTGGCTCCTCACCTATCAGGATAGGCATTGTGAAAATATCTGTTCTGCCCCACATGATAATCTTCCGTCAGAACTTCTTCCCCGTTGGTCCACCGAAAGAGACCATTGGCCATAGCCAAGGATACGACATTTTTGAATTTTGGTTTCTGAGTATTGTTCCTCAGATTTATAACCTCGCGACCATCCAGGGATACAGATATCACAGTATTTTGAGTATGATGTGGTACCAGCAATCGAAAATTCGTATGATCAACGGTGAACGCACCCAAGTCAGGATCTTCGAGAATCAAATACGGTTGCACCTGCCAAAGTCAATTGTACAAATATTAAAAGAAAATTTTCAAAATTTTACAAAATTTTATTAAAATTTGAAAAAAGCTATTACCTCGTGCTTTACCCCATTACTGATGTCAGACAAATCCAATCTGTAGAGTCCATTACGAGTAACCCAAAAAAGATATCCGTTATATGGATCAACCTCTATGTGAGATGGTCTTGTAAGAAAACCAGCCATGGCGACAGTCAGTCCTCTTCCATCCAAATTGCATCTAGCAATCTGCCAAACGGTAGTCGCGTGTTTGACTTCACCCAGAACGTATAGATGAAGGTTCAGCCAATCGACGGACAGACCCAGTGGTTTAAAATTCGCCTGATTGGGACTCAGGACTGGTATTGGCTCAGTTGGCTCGATTATGGAAGTTCGATACACGTATCCAGTCGAATCGGATACGAACAGCTGGGCAGATGCTACATGTATGGCTATGCCACGGATGATGCTGCTTGTACGATAAACCAAAGCTGGTTCCTCCAACATGTCAGCACCTTGTTTCATGACGGTATGCTCCCCCCCAAGGATGAGGATTGGTTGCTGAGTGTCCTTGACTGAAAGTATAAAGATCGTTACGAACCGTCTATATGTCAATTGGACAGCTGAGGTTGCTGAAAATCGTACCAGCTGGTTCCGGAGTGGTCGATATATAGATGATAGCTGGTGGTCCTTCGCCAACGCCATTCCTCATGGTGACGTTTATGGAATAATTTTTATTTGGTTCGAGATTTTGAAACATGTAGTGATCCGTGTTTTCGGAGGCTGGTATATCCTGTTTGCGAAGAGATGTGGAAAACATGTAGTAATCTGATTGTATAGTCTCCAGCCCTTAAAGTCCCCTGTTAAAGTGTAACTAGCGGATAGGATAGAACGCCATGCCAGAAACGTAGTGTTCGAGATTTCCTGGTTCTTGCAAGTTTTCAAGATGCCAATAGCGAATTCACATAGTAATAAATAAAAAGCATTCAGTGACGTCATTCAGCGACCAAGCGAGTTAGAGGTTATTCGGCAAAGCATATATATTACGCGAACCAATAAAGAAGACGGAATTGAATATAATGAAAAATAATAATTTAATAAAATCAAAAATTATTCCACTTCTTAATTGACTCCCGTTCAAGCGAGTAAGCCTATTGCTTGCAGAACCAGCTGTACACTCGATGACTTAATTGCTCTCTCGAGCGCAGAAGGAGCAGTAAGAGCAAAGCGAGTTTTGTGCGCATCGAAAGGATTCGTCGTACGACAGTTTGATGCGAGTTAAAGTAGAGAAGAAAGAGACAAACGACATAGAGAATTTCAATAGGCACAAAATAGGACCGTGAAAACGCGCGGCACATTTTAGCAAAGAGACGTCGAGTAGCGCAATGAAAAAAAAAAATTGAAAGACAAGGTGGACTCTGGAGAACAGGTCGAGTTCTGGCGTGGCGTATACCTTAAGCTGGGAGTAGTCAGCCCCTTGTAGCCGTAGGACATAGGACAAGAGTGGCCCATTTGGGAACGGGCCCGGTTCCCAGGAGACCGACACGCGGCAACTATCTACGGCTGCCGCCCGAACAATTACCGGTGCTGATGTCGGGAGTCCAGCTGAATGAGTCAAGATCACCACGCTGGGAGCAGAAACAATTGGCTCTGGATTGTGTTGCGTGGACTTTAGCAACAACGCTACGCGAAACTGGAACAAAGATTAGCAGGGGTCAGAAGGATGGATTTTGTGTACGATCTTGATCCGGGGTACGACCTAACCTAAAACGAAGATTTTAGGGACTCACCCTGTATTTCGTGTAAGGTTGTAAATTCTCGACTAGAATTTGATCGTCTTCGCCCCACGATTGATTTCGACAGTATTGCCAGGTCTCTGCTAGCTCCTCGTAGCGCCACTGTACCAGGTATGATATTCCACCCCCGCGTCGCTCCACGTCGATCCCCTTCCATTCCAGTCTAAGGGATGTTGCCGTTAAGGAATCTGCCACAAGTGCCGGTGCCGATGGGGTTCCTATTTCGGCTGTAAATAAAGGACAGGTCTGATTGATCTGAAAATGGCCATTAATGGTACTTTCTTGATGTTTTCTTTTGTTTTCACTCGGCGACAACGTCAGAGGATTGGAGATTCTCGGAAAGTCGATTTATCATGGACGAGAAGGAAAGAGAGAAAGGTTTTAACGATTATCAAACGATTCTCGACGGTTTAAAAGTGTCTTTTTTGGAGAAGTGGAAATCCAAAAAACAGGAAAGCGCCAAGCTCGACGATTTCGATCGTTTTCGTACCCTGGGTACTGGTGCCTTCGGCCGCGTGGTGCTTGTCAAGTATAAACCAAGTTCAACATATTACGCGATGAAGATACTCGAGAAGGGGAAGCTGGTGAGGATGAAGCAGATCGAGCACACCAGCAACGAGAAGAGGGTCCTTCAGAGCCTGAAATTTCCATTCGTCGTCTACATGGAGTTTTTCTTTAAGGACAACTCGTACGTTTACATGGTACTGCCGTTCATAAATGGCGGCGAGATGTTCTCGCATCTGAGAAATATGGGAAAGTTCACGGAGCCCTTATCAAGATTTTACGCAGCTCAGGTCGCCCTGGCTCTGGAGTACCTGCACCACTGCGGTCTGGTCTACAGGGATCTGAAGCCTGAGAATATTTTAATCGACAAAAACGGTTACCTCAAGGTCACGGATTTTGGATTTTGCAAATTGGTCGACGGCCGCACGTGGACTCTCTGCGGGACCCCCGAATACCTGGCACCTGAGGTCATCCTCTCGAAAGGTTACGGAAAGTCCGTGGACTGGTGGAGCTTTGGCGTATTAATTTTTGAAATGAACGCCGGTTTCCCGCCCTTTTACGCTCACGATCCCATGAAGATCTACGAGAAGATCGTAGCCGGCAAATACAAGCACGTCTCGCACTTTGGCGAAGACCTCAGGGACATCCTGAAGAATCTGCTTCAGGTCGACCTGACTAAGCGTTATGGGAATCTCAAGGATGGTCCTATGGACATCAAGAAGCATCGATGGTTTCGCACGACTGATTGGATTCTCATGTATTATCAAAAGGTCGAACCCACTTTTGTACCGAAATGCACTGGTCCAAGTGACACGAGTAACTTCGATCACTACGAAGAGGAACAATTGACATTAGACACGATAGATCGTTACGCTAAGGAATTCATAGATTTTTAATTGTCACAAATGTATCAGTAATACAGTTTATCATCTAGCCAATAAGGACCTGAATGCAGTATCAAATTATTCCATTGATTACCTTTGAGCTGTTGGAAATAGCGATTCAGAGCATCGTGACATCCCAGCACGCAGTACAACTCCTTCGGTGGTAGTAACTCTTGGGTTCCATTCTAAAAAAAAAAAAAAATCCAAATAATCGATTAAACACAATAGTGAACCGTGTTTACGAATTTATCAGAACCCCATTTCACACGTATGCCACTCAGAAACAATCAAATAAATCGAAGACCATCCGCCATGCTTAAAATAATGGAGCATCAAGAATAATTAATAGAGGCAATAGAAATCGCCAAGTGATTGCCAACTTCGCTTCATTTTTTTTTTTAAATAGAAAACATAACCCTTAAATAAATGACCATGACCAATTACTCACGCAAACCGCTTGACAGCTTGTTTCCAATGCCTGCTGCCACGCAGCACAACCCTTTGTGCACTGAAACAGATAAAACGTAAAAAAAAGTTAGGTTAGGAATTTTCCTAAAGATTGAAACAAAAAAAAATCTAAATTTAAAAAGTCACTAGTTATCGGTCTAGTAATTTACGAGCATCGGTAAACAGAGCATAATGTCTTTTTGTCGCAGGCTTGTGGACGTTTCCGAGGGTCTAAAAGTAACTAGCTAGTAACCTCTAGTAACATTCATAATCTTACGCAACTCAGTACAGTTTCTTTTTTGTCCAGAAACTTCAGCCGGTTTCTTTTTAAGCATAAAACGATTTTCATGGACTCCTCCAAGCACCATGCCACCACTTGACAGACGTCCGTCCCATAATAATTACTTATAAACGACCCCAGTGTCTCGTTTCTCGGCCTTAAGTGATGGATGACATTTTTCCAGGGGCCTTCAGTGCTGCCTGGGATTTTTTAACGCATACAGCCATTACTTATCGAAGGATACCCCCCCACTCACCCCCATACAACTACACGTCACAGACTAAATTCCCTAGAAAAATCTCAAGTGATACCGAATAATTGTAGAATTTTAAAAAAAAATTCCACAAAAACGAATCGCATCGAATTCTTCGGTACAAGGCCTAAAACTTAAATTCCGGAAGTAAGCGTAGCAAAATAACGAGCGTCCAAGTCTCGTGACGCAATTCGTACGAGTTAGCTTCGAAGTGAAACTGTAATTTTTTAAAAGATAATACCCGACGCGTGGCACGTGCCTCAAGTAACGCCTACGTTCAATAATAAGAAGTGGTCCTCCAGCGTGCATGGATTTACGATGCCGAATTGAAGTCTTCCACGTGGCATTAAAAAAAAAGGTACACGTCGTATCAAGAAACATTGTTATTATCATTGCTATCAAAATCATCATTAAATACTTAGTCCCGAAGATATACAGCGCAGCATCCATCAGTGATACGGTAACGCGGGTAGGAATTCGATACCGATCACAAGAATAACCATAGTAAAAATCTTAAAAGCAGCCGATGAACCCCGTGAATGCATAAACGTAGAAGAGACGCTCAGTGGCGTCGTTACGTCGAGCGTCTACTCGTTCATTCAAATGTAAATATACATACAGCCAGGAGATTCGCGACGCTCAAGAGTCTCGGGAGTCGGATTTCATTAACCCGAGTCATAGCGAATCAGTAATCTCTTAGTGTGCCACCACTCGTACGACGTTCCGTATACACTGGCCTCCTTGAGTTTCGAATACACGACTTTGTGGATCTGATACCTGCCAGGCCAAAGCAGATACATCAGTTACATGGCTACAGTGTTAAAGGTCACACTCAGGGATATAATAGTCACGCATACAGGGTGTTCCATAACCATTATATCCGTGAGTGTGACACTCGGACATTGTAGGTAATGCAACTGTTGTACATTGTTTCGGGGAGTTGCGTAATATTACGTAACACGTGTAATCGACGGTGCCGCGTATTAAATAGTAAAAATAGTCAATTTTACGTAAACCCCCGTAAATAAATATAAACGCAAGTCTAAATTGATGCTGGGAATTCAAGTATCGGATCTTTTTATTTTTCACGTATCTCTTGTACGACTTGACTGACTGTACCAAGACAAGTGGTCTGAGTCTTGAGTCCCGAGACTGGGATGATCTGAGAGGCGCCATTGCACAAACAAGACGGGGTCCTATCGTATCTTTGAAAATAATAAGCAAAGCTAGAAAGGAATAAAAGTCAATGAGTAGAGGCAATAAAAGGATCAGTGTGTTGGTCCGAACGTGTGTGATTGGTACGATCTGTGACGTAGCGACGAGTAGTGGTGAGTGGAGCGAGGGTACCCCGCTGATGGGTACCAGGGTATCGCCATAGGTCAGCTACGAGCGTAACTCAAAAAGTTCGATGAAGGAAAAGGGGGCCTTGATAAGTCCCAGATAAACTTTACTCGTTCGTTTTGTCTTTGCTATGCGACAATACACTCTGTAAATGAGTTGAAGTGCCCGAGATCGATTAAGTGACCCGTGATCGATCGCTTGGGAGTGATCGGCGGGCTGACTGAGATCTCGGGGATTATTGTGTCTGGTGGTGGATCGGTCTATGATCCCCAGACGGGGTTGACCAGGCTGCCGAACGGTGGAAAAAGACGTAGCCATTTGTACGACGCAACCGACGCTAATTTCTCACTTCCTCATTAAATACTCGACACATATTATAGCCTGGCTGTGGCCCTCTCTACTCGCTTAGTGACTTTGGTTAGAAGATAGTAGATAGTAGATGGTAGATGGTAGATGGTAGATGGTAGATGGTAGATACTCGTGACGTACGTATCATAGTAAAATCCTCCAGAACTCATGGTCTAAACAGTTGACTGTAAACTGCAATCTGGAAATTCCAGTTTTTCCCCCTTTTCGAACTAGTAAACAACGAAAGGGTGGTCTCCGTCGACTGTTATTTATGTCGTCTAGCCCCAAGTGGGTAGTAGACCTGAGTAACTTCTGGTAGCCGATGCTCGAGACAAGCCACTTGTTCCCGGTCGGTGGTCCCTTTCTGCTTCTGGTCCAACTTTGGCCGGAGACAATAACAGGCTATGGCCGCGTACACAAAGCAGAGTATCGCGGCGTTTCTTTCGGTCCTGGAGAATTTCGAAATCCCTGGAGCACGTATAAAAGTACATACGCTCCTTCCCCTATAGAAATACCGTTCCCCTTCTTTCGCCTTAATGGCGCGTTTCTAACTGGCGTCGAGCGTGAAATGACTGGTCGCTGGGAAATTACATATTGTAAACTCGCATATATCGCGCGCGTAGAGCGAACCATGTTCTAGGCTCTTTTTCCCTCCCATATCTCCCCCCTGCATAACTACCCCTCGTCCACCACCCGATAAAGTTACACACGTAAGCCAGCTTGAAATTTAACGAATGCATGTTTTCGATAAGGTCGTTGGGGGTGCGCATAATGAATATCCAAACAGTCGGTTTGTCCCGAATCCCAAACACGTAATTACTGGTTCGGCGTTTCCCATCGTGGAGATACGCCTTGCTGAATATCCTTCCGGTACGCAGAGACGGGGGTTTCCTTCGATTTGGCCCGAAAAAAATGAAATTCCACTAGTAGTGCAGGAAACGTGAGATTTGATTGGGGGGATGAAACCGTAACTTCCTTAATTCCTCCCTTTCACGTATTTTCTCTCTGGCATTGTCTATTTTCATTTATTTATCCCTTTTCCTCCGCTCTCCCGTCAACTTCCGGAAGATACCCAGAGAATCCGGAGTCGCACGGCAATTTGGCGACATCCGCCAAAGGCCGCGCTCGTACGCGATCCAATTTAAAACACGAAGCCCCACGCGCCGCCCATTCTTTCGTTCCTGCGTCCATTCATTGTGCCTATGGAGAGTTTTGTTTTTATTTGTCATTAGCGTCCACACACCGTCACTCTCTTTCTCTTTCTCGCTCTGTCTCTCTCTCACACACACGAAATAGTCAACCTCACTCTTTGGCTCTTCGCAAACGGGGCTCCCCATCGAAACGGAAGTACCTTTCATTGTAACCAGGGACCAAATTCCCGAGCATCGTCTCGAGGGTCGGGTCGGTTCGTTCTCGATTTTTCAAATCCACTTCCTCGTTTCGATAAACAATGAAAATAAATTGTCAAACAAAGTAAAAGCACCCTACCTGATCTATCTTGCATCTGACACCGCAGCCGACCTCTGAACTGGCGTCGTCCGTTCGATTCTGCAACGTAAAAGAATGCCAACGTAAGAATATTATTCGAAACAACCTCTTAGCCCAGTATGAACAGTCTTAAGCACAGCCTTAGGGTTGTTACTCATTGAAACAGGAAAGCGTAACAGGTGAGCGAGAGTGGAGCCCTTTAAAGCATAAACGTTTCGCCACACCAACGACACGGTCATTAAAAACGAAGCTTGAAATTCCCATAGTGACGGAGGCACGCTTCGGTTAGCACCCCTTTTAAACCAGCACGTTTCTATGTAACGACGTGAATCTTGTTCGACGTTAGGGTTGATTTTAACGTTTTCAAATCCCCTCGACGAGTCTACAGGACGTGCACCTGTGTCCCGGAAATCCTCATTGTACCTGAAAGATACACGTGGGTGTAACCAGGTCTACTGCTGTGTATATATATAAGAGAGACAAGGACAAGGATAGAGGATTGGTCGATACGCGGCTTCGCACTTTTAATTCGGTGATTTATCATTGCACGTAGCTATACTGGGGGTTCGAATTGAACCGGATGAAACAGTTTACTGTCTTTTAAAGGCAGCAAGCGATTCAATTTATTTTCTCCTGTCCCCTGAACGGTTACCTAAGCCCTCGAGAGTGAGAGAGAGACCGAGAGAGAGAGAGAGCATATACAAGCCGGGTTATCGGTAGTAGATATTTTGTCGTTCAGTGATCCGCGACCGTTTTGCTATCCCGAGATACGGATTGGTCCATGTCTCTTTAAAGAAGAAAAAAAAGCAGATATACCAAGGAGTTTCTCGACACTCGTCAGAATAAACGGGGCTATCGACTTCCACGCGTCGATATTAATTTAATCGTCTTTTTTCATATTTCATTTTTCGTTTCGTCTCCACGAGGCGCTGTCACATTGCGCAATGCGCTCAACTTTGAACCCCACTCAATAATACGACTCCGTTCCCGCGTTCGCTGTTCATCCATTTCTTGAATTTAATTCTGTAATCGACTAATCACACTTTTACGGTAATCGCCCGTACACATTTTCAAATGCTAATTTACTCTTTGACTTCGATTTCCTTTCTCACGCGCTTTAACGAACTTTCGTCAAGTCGTTATTTGAAAAAAAAAAAAAAGAAATAACCCTTCCTCGTCAGAGTTACATCCAATCTAAGTGGATCACCCGGACGTATACCTGGTCTGCTCTTCCGGCCTTAAACCCTTCTCGACCTTCCATCCCCTTTCTTCGCTCCTAACATCAGGCCGTCGTGGAACGTCTTCGTCACGGACAACGACGCTCGCCAACTGTTGCGTCTTTCCTGAATCCTGATTCCTCAGCGATCGTATAACGTCCCTTCCGCTTGCGTTCGTTGAAAATCTTCAAGAAACCGATCGCAATCCACCCTAAATATTGTAAGGATTTCTACAATTTTTTTTCGATTTTTTAAAAATTTTCAAAATTTTGTTCATATTCAAATACAATGTAAAATTAGACATTTTTGTTATTCAATGTATTTCAGGCAACCCCTGACCTAACCCTAGCCTACGTGACCCCAAGATAGCTGAGTGCAATTACGAATAGGAACGAAGCCAGCAATAATTATACATTAAAGCATAGCGCAAAGGTGCAAAGGTGTTCCTGGTCTCAAGGTTAAGGCAAAACGGTGTCAGGTGTTTTTTCATGCGGTCTCCAGACATAGGGTCGCACGGTGTTAGGTGTATACCTAGTCCACACCAGATACCAGATACCAGAACCACACCGTGTCCACTCGGTTGGAACGTCAGGACGTCGCTGCACCTCGTGAGATTTGTGGGTTCCCCTTATGAAATAAACTTAACGGACAGTTTCCATATTAACCCACGAAAAATTAAAAAAAAAACCATCAGAACTTCATACCCATATTTCAAAATATATTTCATACAAAAAATAATCATAAAATCAAAACAACGCTTCCCCGTGCTACGCGTATACGGTAGGTATAGAATATCCACGTAGAAATAAAGTGTCGACTTAATATGGCTTCCAGCATAACACAAGAACCGTGACTTCGTGTACAGAGCGACGGGTGCATAGATACATTTTAATTGACCTTACGTCATACCCACCACAGCCAAACTCCGGTTCCCAGGATTTGTTTATGCACGGAAATTTAAGTAGAGTCCAAAAGCGACCATAAAAGTTTCGCGTAAGCTATTAACTGTATACGGGTATTAAAAAGAAAAACGAGATAAACAGATAATCGATCGATCGACAAGACAGACGATTCCACGATTCTGCAATTCTGATTGGTCGCGAGTCCTAGGGGATAAAAGTCACGTGTCCAGTGGATTTTAGGGGAATCCCTAGGAAGTCGGGAACGAGAAGACGAGGCGGACCAAAATGGCTGACGGTCTCGTGAAACGAAAGAGAGTGGAGGATACGGTCTGACAGGAAGTTCATTGTCTACGTAATATAACGTTGCTGGTTGATGCGCAGATTCGCATTGTTATCGGGTCGAATCGAACCGGGTCGTTACTCCATTTTTAATGTAATTGAACGCGACGAGGAATTGTCAGATAAAAAAATAATAATAACATACTATATTATGCATACGATATTTTCCTCCAAAGTCGTACATAAATCATGGTACATGGTTGTTCCCTGTTACGCAACATCCAGGGTTATCCTAAGCATCACCTCGAGATACGATAAAGACTTTATTACTCTTGTTTACCAATCACCGATCGTGTCTCTTATGCGTCTTATCGAAATTCCATATCAGCATTTTAATTCCTGTACGTACTGTAATCGATATTTTTTTGTAGGACAGTCCGTCACATAAACTATGTTAAAGAGGGGTGACCGGTGGGGGGGGGGTAGTAAAAAAGGGTTATTTCATCAATTATCACAGAGTTGAGTTATTAGGTGTAATAGTGTTAACCACGTTATCACAGCTTTCACTTTCACCACATAGAAATTCATATCGGATATTTGAGTTACGAGATTTTGTAACGCGTCGAGATTACAAAACGAAGATTTACGTGACAGGATAAGGAGACGAGGGGAGGTTAATTTCAAATAATTTTTTATACGGCACTGCCATAATTCAATTGCCCGTTGATCCCTCTTTATCGCCTCTTGTCCCGTTCCCGATCAATCGGACCCCCGAATACACATCAATTTGCCAAAATGATAGTGACGCTTGAAAAGCAGACGACAAACGACATAATGAAAAAAAAAAATTTACCAAAAACATGAAAAACCGTAAAATGCAGATACGTAAAACGTATCGCATAACTGTAGAAAGTAAATAAAAAATGATCTATCGTACCAGGTTGCTATACTGGCAATCAGTGTTAAGCCGCAAATAGCGAGAAGAGGATTGAGGCCAATTATCAATTAGTCTGGATGCAGGAGCATCAGACTTCGAGCGAGTCGGTTTGCCTTGAGAAATCTTAAATTTCGTTTATCCTTCAACCGAACGGCGTACCATCTTTTTTACGAGTTTTTTTTCACGTCTCTTATTGACTCCCCCAATCGCCCCCCGCGTTCTTAGTCGTTCCTTCTGATATTTTTTGCCAGAATTTCTTCTGCCCGAGAAAGCCAAATGGAAACCCGCATGGTCGCTTCACGGGCTAGAGGCGAAGCATAGCCAAGAAGCGAGATGAACGTAGTTCGTCTTTGGTCGTGGAAGCTGGGATTATGGCGAGCGATGATGCGCCGTTGTGTAGTTAAGTTAATTAATGAATGGTACGTTCGGGGTGGAGAGTGAGGTTAAATTGATACGTCCTTCGCGTGCAGTCGTTTTTATACTCCGTGCCTTCCTATGCTCGGCTCGCCTTAAGCTGCGTTCACATCTGAGCGTGATTGAAGACGTAGCGTCGGAAAGTCGGGATTCTTTGTTGAGACAGTATCTCTTGGTGGTTCTACGAGTATGTGAATATTGGTATAAATATTGATTATGGATTTAATATAATGGAGGTATAGGTTAGTAATGGTTGGAACGAATATTTGTTTTGATGATTTGTGACTTTTTGACGTTCGTGACTGTTTATCTCGTTAAAATTTAAAAGAGCACGTGCTGCGATAGCTTATTGCATCTGTGTCTTCCTTACAAGGTTAAACAGCCACGATAAATCTGGTAAACATGATAAATGCTTTGTGCGACTGGCATAGGATTAAGCACTCTGGCTATGGATGTGGCTTTGGACTTTATTTCATGTCAAACGAAAACATCTTGCAAGTGTCAAAGACGCGTAAACAATGTTATTCGGTATACCGAGACAGACTGTTGAATGGTGTTGTGTTTCTGGGGTCCCGATAAGATTTATTATCTGCCTGGGAGTAATCGCGTGTCGAATTGAATTTTGCCGGTAAAAAATGCCGAATACGGGCTCGAGACTGTTTTTAGGTTAGCCGTTGCTCCGGGGCTGTTTTGAACGAGCGACAGATAGCTGCACGTTAAATTGAAATAACGCTCGCGGAGAATCTATCAACCACAGACTCCTTACTCAAAGGCCATCGCGTCTCGGTTATCGGCACTGCGTGGATATGCGAGCAATTTTTCTTAAGACTGTTTCTTTTTTAACAAACCTGATCATTTCTCTTGGAACATTGATTTTACCATATTTTCCATACCAGACAATTGACCTTTACGATATCTTTATTCAGTGTGGATATTTATTTTCTATTGGACACCCTATCATCTTTATGGACTCGCCGAAGCTATACACAAATCTGTCAAACTTGCTGTGGGTATTTTTTTTTTCGCTACTAAAAATCAGTCAAATATCTTACTTCGCTCCCTTTCACTTTTTTTGTGTGTCATCGATGTTCCTCTTTTAATCTATCCCAATCTCAAGAACGGACGGCTCATCTGAGGGGCACTTCGGATTCTTTGGATTCTCCGAAGTCCTGAACCAGAAATGTTATTGGTCATCTCTTTGGACTGAATTGAAATTCCAGCTGCAGTGGCGAATGTTACATAGTGACACGTTTACGTCATTAACTGACGAACATGAACGGGATATGTTGTTGAGTGGATGAGAAGCTTTGTTAACGTTCGGGGAAGCGAATACGAAACGTTTGCGCAGGACCAATTGAAGTTTCTCGCCTGCATATACATATGTGTATACCCATAATGGCTGCCTAATGGATAATGTATCTGGAGCAATTAATTGCGTTAAACCGGCTTATTCGTAGAGTGACGTCAGTGGATGAGTGCTCGAAAAGAATTTTACTTCAAAATACATTTCAAGAATTCCTGGAGAAGAGTAACAGAGTGCTGGATGCTGCGGACGTTCCGCATCGCAGGATTCATGGTAGCTGAACGTGAGAAAATAACGGACGTTGAGTGTAACGAAAAACGGTTATAAAAAAAAATTCAAAGATTCTAAATAAAAATAAGAGTCCTGTGGAATCCGCAAAGCATGAAGGACTTTGCGGCATATCTGATTAATTCGATATCGGCATCTCTTCGAAGCGCTCTTCAAGATTTTATCCTACCTGATTCAAATCGAGATCCGGACATCTGGAGGCGCATTCCTCTTGCAGACTTCCTGGAGGCCTCCGCACCTCGAGGTCTTCCGGCAGGAGCGTCGCGACGCTTCCCGTCAACACCAGCACCTTCAATAACACGCATAGCCTCTTCTCTAACATAATATCCAGCCCCTACATAAAACCCTCGAAGACCTTCGCGGTTCCCCCAAAAAAGCACCCTTTTAAATTCTAATCTTCATCTTCCACGCATCTTCCTCTCGTCTGCTCATCCACGGCTGAGGACCCGGCAGTGTCCTTTGATCAATATTCAAATTTGCATTCTCCACATTGTCTTCTTTCCTCGAGTGAATCACCCACTAGGTTCTTATCATAAGATAAAAAGTTTCACGCACAGATTTTATCCGTCAGCACTAAATTCACTGAAAACCAACAAAAATAAAGCTGTATCTCACAAGCGTGCCACCTTCACTAATTTTCAAAAAAAAAATACACCAAAATATTGGTAGTCTGTCAAATATTTGTTTCGTTAAAATATCTCTTGGAATTACTATGTGTATGTGTATAAATAAATCGCGACGCTCGATAACTTCGAAGAGCAGCTCTGTCCTTTGCCGGTGACTAGCATAAGAGCAACTGACTACGAACTGGCAGCAGACAGTAAAGCCGGACTCCCACTACACGAAGCCACGAAGCGACCAAGTCCCGGGGACCCTTATCCACTTTCATCGCTTCACTCCCCTTGACCATCCCTCATTCCCATTCTCATTTTCATTCTCATTACGAACCACTAGCTGCCGACTACTTCACTTGACAATAATACAAGCCGCAGAGTGAAACGATTTGAATCTTCGTTCATAGACAGCTATACATATATATATATATACATACTGTGAACTATATATAGCTACTACTCACTACTGGTCAATTGGCAGATTGACCTGTTCTTACTATGGTACTCCTGAACTTTCATTCATATGTTCGCACGTGCCGATAGATTGATCAACCGGTCTTCCTAGCGCTGAGGTCGCAACGAGAACCTGAAAGATGCTCATTCGTAAGATCAATACTCGATATGATATTTGAAGTTCATCGATACATAGAGTATTGTACATAAAAAAACACTGTTGGGTAGACTCACTCTGCTAATGTCAATGTCAATGATGAGAGCTGTGAAAAATCCTATGGACCCATATAGATTCTTCTTAGGGGATGATCTTGGGTGTTTAGTTAGGTGTAGGTATGGACACAACGTCGGATGGAGATCCGCTGTCCTCTCGCTTTTAGTGACCTCTCCCCTTTCTTAGTCACAAGTATTGTCGCGCGGTTCAATGTAAACTGGAGAGAGATCCTCAAACAAGACCTTTCTTTACCAAGAGCGCCTTTCGGAAAAGATCTTTGTTTTGTTTACCTGAAAATTTGTGTACACCGTTCTGGTACCTATTCCTGGCCAGATCATTCAATTCCATCAGGTTTTACTTTTCAGATTCCTTTAGCCTCTGGCAATTCACCGATGCATTCATATATGCATTAGCCCTTTTAATTAATAATCCTCTTTTTCACCTGTTAATCGGATGAGCTTTTCAAATCGACTCGTTATGAAACTATCATTGCGCGTTCAATCCCAATCTCAATGGCCGTTACAGGTTACCTAGAGCTTCCTGCGGAAATAGCCAATATACTCCTCCGACCTCCAACTCGCTTAGTTACTGGCTTACCGAGTTGCTCTCTTGCTCACTAGCTATCTCCACTCGCTCCTCCTCCTTTTTGGTATGGACTACAGGGAATATACGAGTAGCACTCACAACCATAGTAGCGCATAGTAGCCACAGTAGCCGTAGTAGTCAGACCCATATGATCGCCCTAACGCTCGACACGCACTCGTTACGAGTCATCATGATGATCTATGCCTACAACAAACGTTACATCCTTAATCTGTCCCGTGCAGCCTACACTCCCATATCCTAGGGTCAATCAGGCTCGTTTAGAAGAGAGCGAGAAAATGGAATGTCGGAAAAACTGACAGATCCACTCGTACTTTGTCGTGCCTACCTTATTGGGTATGTCGAATTACGATGCAGAGATAAGCAGAGATGATCAATGATATTGTGCAATAGGGTAGAACCTCTTGATTGGTTTTCTTGAGTAATTCAAAGACTTAATGTCTCTATCTGTAACGTCTCTCAGGGCCTTAGGGGAACTTTTACAATCTCTTTATGATTTACTTACGGAGTAACTGCACTTTTTTTTCTTATTGATGGAACATACTTTTATGAAGGGTGATTCCAATTAAATATATCATCCTGAGGGAGATTTCAGTTGCTCTGATTGATTCGATATGGCCACTATTCGAGCCCATTAAGGCAATCGAAGGACATCAGACGAGGAGGAGGAATGGGCTCTCGAGTCAATCCTGAACACTGCGTCCGTTTCTCTTTCTGTATGCCTGTTTGTCGACTGCTCATATACGGGGTGCGGGTGGATCTGTCATTTAGATTAAACATTAGTCACTTTAATATCTTTTATTAAGAGGAATACATTCAATTCTAGGAGAAACGTTTCAGATGTAAATATTCCATGTTAACACGTCATTACTATAATATGTATTGTTTACGTGGTTTGAAAGAGCTTGACAATCTAGTGAATATAATTAATGTCACTGATAGTACGAAGAAGAAAGCAAAGATGAAATATAGGAATTTCAATACATTGTACAGTTAGATATTAAGTAATGTGTGCATGGATGCAGAATTGCTGGATCGAAGGGAAAAGGATGTTCAAGTCTGAGACGCGAGGGGAAACTACATGTGATATATATAAACGCCATCTGAACAGTTTTATCTTGTACTGTTAGTCCTTAGGGTTTCATGCAAGATGGCGTTGAAAGCGACACTAAAGATTGAGGGTAGAAAATAATCATAGAATGTTTAAAAAATGATTTTCTGTATATTTAATTATTGTTAGGATCAGACAATTTAAGATAACTATAGGTACGGAAAATCCTTGCGGAGCAAAATTTCTCGTTGGTTGATTTTGAAAAGGTTAAAGCATTTACGCTGCTGGTGGCTTAAACGAATATTTCTAACTGTTGGCTAGAAGTAGAAACAGAGATGAGTAGGGAGATTGCCAATGAGCCGATTTTCAACGTCAACGTCTTACATCTTACGTCTTCTCCATTTCGTTTCGTGATTGAAAAATAAGTCGACGGTGCTGCTGCACTTTTACTGAAAAAAAAGAAATCAAGATGGAGACGGCCAACAATAAAGCTGACGCTCAGCTTAACGCAGAGAAAAAATCGTACGCCGGTATTCCAGAGGCTGATTTTGTGGTAAATATATCAGGGATTAGCGAACTATTAATTTAATTACTTACTATAGTGGCTTTGTTCAAACTGTTCTTACAAACGTTCTGTGCTATCTTTAGTCAGGCACGGTCCGAAGTGTCGGCATGCTTTTTCTGTTTTTTTAATATACATTTTTTTAAAAATACTGACTCACTGACTGTTTGTGAAAAAATCAGCTATAAAAAGTCAGCTATAAATTTTATATTTCTTGATGAAATCTATACTAGTTGTCAATTGTCGCGGTAGTCTTGTCAGATTTAATTTGAGACCTTATATGGTTACATACTATCCACTGCTGCACCCACGTATTATAACTATATGTCATTATGACACTGGGTAGTATAGCTTACACCGAGTAGTTTATCAAGTTTATTGTGTGAATTAGAATATTGTTTTAATACAATGATAATTATGTATTTAGGATGATGTTGATGCTTTCATGGCCACCCCAGAGAATGAGGGTTCTGTCGATAAAGTTCTCAAAAAGCTTGACGAGAATCACAGCAAATATAAATTCATGGAATACAATTTGGTCAATAAGAGGAGAAGGCTGAAGGCTCAAATCCCAGACTTGGAAAGGTCTCTAGAAATGATAGAAAAGCTACAAACAGAAAAGAACAATAGCCATGACTTGGAAACTCAGTTCCTTCTATCGGAGCAAGTCTTTGCGAAAGCTATTGTACCACCCACAGATAAAGTATGTCTCTGGCTAGGTGCTAATGTGATGCTAGAGTACACTCTAGACGATGCGCAGGAATTGCTTGTGAAAAATATTGAAGCAGCAAAAAGAAATTTGGGCTACGTTGAACACGACTTAGATTTTGTCAGAGATCAATTCACGACGACTGAGGTGAACATGGCGCGTGTATACAATTGGGATGTTAAACGTAGACAAGCTGCAAAATCATCATGAAATTCATTAAAATAATGACGTAATTCGATCAGAGAACTCCTAACCATAGTTTTTCGAATCGACGAAGTGAAAAAATCTACGTGGAGACCGAAACAAGTGCAACTACATGTTTTTCAAGTAATGTCATGGTTAAAGGAACAATTGGATACAAGAAGAAATATATCCGCATTTTTTAGTTTAATGTTTGGCAGAGTAATTACACAGTTGTGAATTAAAAGCATTTGATTGAAATTTTAGTTATTAAACTCCATAATCTATGCGTTCTTACAAATGAATTGGATACTTTTAAGAGTAACCTTTATACTTACGTTAGGATATTGAAGAAAAATGTACCAAATACATGAAAATATAATGATTATCATACAAAATATTTAATGGGTAATACTCTATCGACTTTATCTAGGTGTCATAATACGATACATACTTACATTATCTTAACGTCTACGACGCTCAATGATCGCTAGTCTTGTAATTCGATTTTCCCTACTCAAGTTATTATATCAGAAAAGTTAGTCTTAACATTTCGCTTTTTTGAACTTTGTCATAAAGGAATAGTTTGTCATGTCTTATCTTATAAATCCTAATATTACTCATCAAGTATGTTGTAAGGCACATGGTCCGGCAGATTTTGCTAGAAACTTAAAGTAAAGGACAAGCTGCGACTAGTTTGAAACAAATGGTTTTACATGGTCCATTCTTTTTGTTATTCCGCTGTATCCTCTGGCTCCAGTTTGATCAATTTTGCTTTCAATTCTATTATCGTTGCCTTAGCCTCGTCTAGTTCTTTCTTAAGTGTATCCACCTCCGAAGCTCCTTCAGTGATACCTCCAAGATTTCTTCGTACATATCTAAATCTGTGTTAAGAGAATGCCTTCGAACATACTATAAAAAAAAAAGAATAAACAGAACGTGAAAGGATACTCCAAAGCATCATCTGGCTTTTCCGTCTCTTCATATAACGATACAAGTACTTTTGTAAGTGCATCCATTACACCAGCGCGCTCCAAATACTTTCGGAACTCCTCGCGTTTAGAATCAATTGGCTAAAAAAAATGATCATTAGAATAAATGAGATGAACATCAACACAGGATAAGGGTTAGAATCTATCCGTCAACTCCATGCCGACAAAATTTGTAATCACTAGCAATCTCTATAACTTTGATTTTACCTTATAGTTAGACATTTTTCCTTTTACAAGAAAATTCAGGCTGAGATATTTTATTCTTTTTTTTTTTAATAACAGCGATTTCAACGTACTCCTTTTAGAATAACGTAAACGATACTAAACGCACGCTGTTGAACGTGCTCCGATGATTCCCGATTGGCACCGATTATCGCCGATCAACCAAAATCTTGTCAGATTCCAATGACACGAGCAAAGCTTTACCTTTTATGGACTTGAAGTATCAAAGACTCAGAAAATACACTTAAATCGCACTTATATCATATAAAATGCATCAGGCTCGAGCTTCAATTGAAAACAAAGGTCCGTGCAGTGACGCAAATAAAAACACTTCTCTAGGCTCCAGTGATATGCGCACAAAGAGGCTTGAAAAAACAATATGGTGGCTACTCGCGTTTAATCATTCGCCAGCATACAGAAATGACTACGAGTCTCTCATAACGAATAAGTGATTTTCAGTGTAAAAGAGAACTCGGACTCTCGCAAAAGCTACGCGCTTGTGATGTTTTATACAAAACGCGAAACGATTTTATGTATATTCGTGACGAGCATGATCGCTCTCTGTTCGCATCTCGGTGACAGAATGTTGAAACATGGAAGCACTCCTGCCATGCGCGCGATATTTGACAACCTGACACACGCGACAGTCGGCGCACTGACGTGGAGCTTGATAATAATTCTATCGAGAAAATCTGTAGTGCATAATGTATTTCAAATTGTTTCGTGCTTCCTCGTATCGTCATTAATCGATCTGGATCATTTTTTGTCAGCTAGGAGTTGGAGACTGAGCGTGAGTATCTTTGACGTTCAACTAAGAATGTTTCATAGTCGATTAAATGAGAATGTCAACCGTTACAAATTACATATACGCACCCGTGACATTTTTCTGGGACTTTCTCCTTCCTCTGTTTGGATAGAGTTATCCGAAGAATCTGCATGGACAGTGCAAAGGGAGGGATTAATTACAGTAATTTGAAGAAATGCAGTTGGTATAGAGTGTGACACTTTCGAGAGCGAAAAGAAAGCGCCCAGAATGATTTCGATTGTTTCATCGATCGTTTTTTTCTTTTAACTGTCAGGATTCACAAATCGTCCTTTGTTTTTCTGTTTTCTTCGAGTTGTCAGTAATTTTAGGTTTTCTGTGCAGGATGCAACGCGTTTGGATAAAAGGCCCTTTCTTCATTGCTCGACAGTGCCGATATTCGCATGGCTGGTTCTCATAGCCATTTCGAAAATGACAAGTCGTCCGAATTTGATCAATCACGCGTGGATCTTATTGGCGGCTTTTTTCAGTCATCATATACGAGATGCTAGCAGGAAAGGGATGTGGTTTTATCCTTTTGGATCTACTCCGCCAATTCCTTATTATTTTTATATTTTTATAAGCATGACTCTTCCTTTTGTCATTCATTGGCTAATGTTTACACCCATGCCTCTCGTTGAATACGATGCCATGTCAATCGATATTGTCTAATATTGACAGGGGCTTTAGTGGAATTTAAAATATTGAAATCAAAGGATTTCCTATAGAAATCTAGGATCCTATTAACACTCAATCTTCTGTATACAAATCATTGCAAACTTGATACCGAGACTCGATAGGAATCAAACTTGAAATATCTGATAAGTCATGTTACAGATTTACAAATAACGTTACCTGAGTATACGATTCCCGTACTACACGATACAGTAAGAAATTTTCTCATGTATTAATTTAATAATTTTTACTGATCTGAGAGAAACAATCGATCGACCTGATTGTTTAATGAATAAATCAAATAAATCAAGTGATGTGGTTCTATTGTCATGATCCTCGTAAATCCTAAATATTTCTCTTTCTCCAATTTCACGTTCTCCCACACGATTTAAAATGACAATCATTATCTTTTATTTTCATCAGCTGCAGAATGAATAATTCGAGAGTGCAACAATACATTCGTGCAGGAATGCATTACTGGAACTGCATTCAAAATGAATTACAATCCCTACTCCTACCGTGAGCCGATTAACGTACGTAGCTAACTCAACAAATCACAATAATTAATATCAATCATCATCACGATAATTATGACGATTATCAATATCACTCTTCCATATATATATTATAATATATACAAAGTGTCAAAAATATCTTCACTGTACATCCCTAGAAAATAATACATAGTATTTACTCTAACCTCTTATTCGTATATTAAAGCCGAATTCTCAACAGACCAATAACAATGGCTGTCTCGAAAGACAGATCGTACCAAATACCACACAATGAATTTGTACAATATTTCGACACAACCTCCAGGCAGTTGCCTAACGTAAGAGTCGTTACATACTATCGATACTCGATTAGCGACAAATCGAGTGAGTAAAATACACAAACGACTCAAGCTAGACCTCAAGAGCCACACAGTAACGCTTGAAGTGGCTGCTTGTTCCAATTGTAATATAAAACAGACGGCAGGGTAGGAAGGTAAAGCAAACACTGAGTAAGGCTGGGTCGGTAAGTGGGAAAAGGTACTTTGACTGTTTTCTCGACTCCGGCAAAAGACATAGAAGCGCGTGGAGCATTAGTGTTCTTGGAGGGGTTTTATCAGCATTCAGCATTCAACGTTCAACCATTGCTTAGTTGGCAGTGTTACAAACGGTTTACAGTACCACGATCAGTTCAGTGAATAGTTTGGTTTAATTACATTAGACATACCTGAACTAGAATTCATCTCGGTACAGCGTACAGTAAAAATTATAAATCCGAGGAGATTCGTCGAGTTTATCAAATGGGACTGACGCACAAACGGATTTCTTAATTTTCGCAAAAGCACTTCGTGCACCACTGGAGAAACTGGTGGGGGGATATTTGATCGAGGAGTAGAGACACCTGTAATGTCGTCGGAATATCTTGGATATAAACTCGAGAATGATAACTCGCTGATAACAGCTGCCTTGGCACATTACGGGACGTTCCGCTCCTACGGAATCTACAAGGAATCTGTCTGAGCGCCCGTGGCCTGTCGTACAGACTGTTTACCATGGTGAGTACGGATTTATTTATCTCCCAGGATTTATTGAGTATGTCTGTATACCATTGAGAGGAACGATCGATTATTATATTGCTGACTTCATATATTCGTTATCGGGTATTAATTCGTTGAACCTCGTTTACAGCACTTTACGCTCATTCAATTGAAATGACGGTTATTACGAATATAAATAAGTCAGGATCCAAGAAATAATACTTATCAATCTTCATACTTGGAATTGCTGTTGTCATTCTTAGAAAACGTGTGGGATGAATCGACATGCACGACGTTAATTAAATACATGCATAATTACATACATCCGTGTGGTCAAGGACAGATTGAGATAATTCAAAAAGTCGAACAGGCACTCGAGCGCTTTTTTTTATCTTTCCACAATATGAATTCGATTCGTATAATAACGATAAGGCCGCACTACGATTCATGTGCGGATATAAGCCTCGTGAACGCGGACGTCCAAGACGGTTAGTTCGAGAAACTTTTCTTTCGCGATAAGACTGTAGGAATAAATTTTTCAAATTCTTACGTACAAACGTAACCGTCGTAGCCTTCGAAATACGTGGACATCGCGTTAAGAGTAGCCTTGCGAAATATCGAAGGAAGTGCAGAGCAGCCGTGCGTGGAATAGGCAGAGATCCTTTCCATATTCTTGCATTCCTACTTTTAGAATCGTTACGGGATTTACACACTGCCAGCGTATCCTGCCAGACTCGTCCATGGCTGTGTCTTTTCTTATGGCAATTACGAGCCTGACCCAAGGGAGATCGTGACGTAACTCGATAAGACGACTATTTTGAGTTTCGACAAAATATTAATTATCGTCGACCGATCAAACGCTGATTAATTGATTGAAATATGTGCTTTTCGTTTTTCAGCCGACATTTGAGGAACTCACGCTATACTTTTTTATAGCCTGTGGTGTTGGCACCGGCGCCTTCTGTATACTATTCGTTTTGGTCACTATTTTGTTCTTTAAATTACGACGGATGAGAGTGGACGGGTGAGTAGAGTGCAATTCTGTTTTCTTACGTAGGTCAGATAGCGAGTTGATAATTCATTGAGTCAGAATTTAACGATAGAGAATATCTCTAGCCTGAAGCGTTTACCTCTTTAATTACAAAGCAATCCGATAAGAGAAAACAACTATTTAATGTTGATTCGCTTGAACAATTGCGAAATCACTGATAGTATATCTACGTGAGATCTTGCAAGAGGGGTTTATTGTGTTTCTGATGAAAGTTTATTTATAGCAATGAATATGGTATATGATATAGATATGCGTGTAATTCATACAGTAGAATCCTAGATGCGTAAAGACTTTTAATCTAGCACGCACGACACGTGCGAGTAAACTGGGACTGTGGTAAATATTGTTAGTTGCGACGGCGTCGGTAATTTTGTACTGTACCGAAGGAGCGTTGTTTATTCTGTATAGTAAGAGTAGAATAATTCTTGTGGAACGTGAAATATAATTTCTTTTCAGATCTAATCAACTTAACCGGCAGACGAATATGATGGCTGATTTTTGTTATACGAATCCAACTATTGTCCCTGGGGAGGAACTCTCTCGTCGAGGATTTTCCATGTACAGTGGCTCTGGTCATATAAGTAGCGTAGATTTTGGTAACAAAGCCAAGGACTACAATACTCATCATGAAGCTCGTTCAAAATTTTAGAAGCCGTCCTCGCTGCCTCGTCTCCATTGAATGAGCTACAATACTTGTTACCGTTTTTTTAATTGTTTACGCTTTCTGGAATGATTATCAGCGCACCCCATTGCGTTCTTCGTTATCGGGAGACGGTACAAAAGTACAAAGTCTTCATTTTGGAAGAGGAAACTACACAGCCGACGTTTAGCTATTAGTGTTAGGTATCAGAAGAAATTACATCAACCAAGATTAGTCAATTTTATATTGACGGTATTTCTATACGATTATATTGTCTAGTCCCTCGAGGGACTGTCATATGTATTAGCCTTTGATCGTAGGAACATACCGACTTCTGGAAATTGTCGGTAACTTATCGTTGGTCGGTAAAGACGCATGCGAACGTCATGATGTAATTTCAACGAAGAAGTCAAATAATTAAATACCTAAGGAAGAGACAAAGAAATCTTAAGCGATTGAGTCAACTGTAACTGTGGCAAAGATAAATTTTTTTTTTTCTATTTAATTTATGATCTTTCCTGCGATGTACTTACAACTATGACGTATAGTCGTTATATTTTTATTCACTGTTTATAATGTTAATCTAGTAACGTTACCATGGTAATTGCAACATTCGTATATGTACCATTTTGTGTTTGCGTACCAAAGAAGAGTGTCAAAAGAAACTAAGGATGCACTCAAAACTCCAGTATAAAGTTAAGTAACACAAAGAGTGTCAGTAAGCTCTACGAGATCTCGAATAAAGAAATACAAATTTCTAAAATCCAAACTGTTGCCGTACTATATCGTTACTTCGACGAATACACTGACACGTAATTATTCGCAATAGCGGAAAGGGGTTCGCAAAATGGCGAGGATCTCCGAAGAAGCAGAAACGTAGTCAGGTCCTTAGCGCGATGCAGACTCTAACGCAAGTGGTAAAATAATATAAGGCGACGCGATTTCCGCGGAGGCATTCAACGTCATCGGTAAGAGGGGATGCTGCTCGTAGGTTCCGTTGGGTATCGTTCAGGGTAGGCAGTAGTATAGGATAGGCCGTAATTGGTATAAAATCGTCGAGCAAACACATCGGACAAGACAGCCCGAGGGTTGTGGGCGGTGTTGCGTGCCGTATCCCTGGTTACCGTAGGACTCTCCCAAAGCACCCCCCCAGTACCTTGATTGCGCACACAGCTACCCCTTGGCTGGTGTACATATATATACTTACCTCACCCAGCCCATATAGCATATAGTATACAGCATACTTCGCTACATAAGCACGCCCCTTTTTCCATGTACACTGATCCCCGTTTTCGCGTAATCGACCCCCGCGCCCCCTTCTATATATTCGCGTATACCCATATTCCAGTGCCACGAACCGAGCCCGCCTTTCGCACTATCTTTTTCCCAACCGTCCCAACGACCTTTTCGCACGAGGATATTCGCTTGCGATTTCGAAGCTCTTCGCGCCACTGCCGAGCACCCCTCTCGCCCACCCCGCCATTGTTTGAACACCGTACGAGGGTATTAAGCGAAGTACGAATTTTATACGCGCAATTATTCTAAGCACCGGTCCAGGATAATTCGTGACAAGTGTTAATTTAGCGCACGCAACCTGTCGAGTGTTTGGTTTGGATCAAATCGGCCCCTTCTGGCCCGACGCTGATGCACCCTGAAAATCATATCCGTGACTATTTTCTTTAATCATTGGGGACCGCGTGTAGCGCTACAGGCCGAGTTTGGTATCCTGGCATATGTTATTCTATAGGGTGATCGACAAGTACTTTGACATACTAGACCTAATAGCGGTGAAGATTTGCGCAAACAGAGCAAACTTCTCTGCCGTGCTAGCAGCTAATTTAATGGCGTTCAGTCTGCCGCTCGGCCAATAAACGTTAACGCCGCTGATCCCTCGAGACAATATTCCCGATCCTTCTAGCAAACGAAACCTTCCATACCTTTTTCTTTTCATATTTCCCTCGAACAGCTTCACAGACGCGCACATACGTCCGAGCCATTTTCCAGCGATTTTCTTTCTTTCTTAAAATTTACACGCGTCCATTTGTCCCCGTCTCAAATCCTTGACTACGCGACGCTCTCATTACTTTCTTAACCCTCGCTCTTGCTACCTAGTGCCCTCTGCTCGTTCCTTCGTACACTCTGTACAGTCCGCGACACAAGTACATGCTCGACCAAGTGCTCGAGGTCGCGTATAAAACTTGAAGCCTTTGAGGTCTCATATTTTTACGAGCGTCCAGTCACTAAAGGAAACAAAAGCCTGTGAAGTCCATGGGGTCCGATGCCAATCACCCCCCCCCTCTCTCCCTCCCTCCCACTCTCTCTCCACCATACGAATCCCCATACCTATCCGCAAGAGTCGACCTAACCAACTGGCTGTTTCTCCAAGGGAATCTCAAATCACCGAGATTTCTTTGGTTTTTCTCAATCGAGTGAAAAAGCAAAGCTTTTTCTTTTCAGCACCCAGGGGCTAAAAATACTGGTATTACGGACAGAGCCATGAACGATCAACCCTAACGAGCGATCGTACAATTTCACAGAATCGTGATCTGCCCGAAGAATTTAACAAGGGACACGCGTTGTGTCTCTCGGCGACGTCACACACATCCTTACAATACTTTATACGTCAGTCTCCATACTCTATCTCTCTCTCTCTCTCTCTCTCGTTTACTTCTGTCTCCACAGTTCTCTCTGTACTCTCATTACGGGAACGCTTGGATTCCCAGGAAGGAGTGACTCCACGGGCAGCAGGAAACCTGCGGGTTTGACTAGCGTAATGGCGCGGTACGGAGGAGAGACTATAATAAAGAGACACGTGCCTATCGCGAACAGCCCCATGCCGAGAAGCACACGACCGACTACGAGACTAAGAATCACCAAACGGATCCTTACAATTAGTTTATTGTTCGTCCGGGTGACAATTAAATGGGCTCTGAAGAAAAGTTGGGATCATTTAAAAAATATATATATGTATGCTGTACCTAGGGGAGATATGCGAGGGCTGAGGACTTGCCAGAGGCGAATGGGTCTGGGTGATATCTCTCAAAGTGAATTGCGTATTTACACTGCGAGAGGGATTCTTATAATTATTTTCAAAGAGAGATAAAAGGTTTTTGAGTTGGATGAAACAAAAATTTGCATTTCCCTAATTTCACTTTTCCCAGTCACTTTAGGCTTGTCTGTGTACTGTGCAGCTTGGGAATAACCCGATTTTGTGGAAATTCCAAACTACCCTGATTTTATTGGCAATGTTATTTTTCCTTTTGGAAATGGAATTATTAGAGGTGTAAAGCCACCAGTCGACTACCGTAGCAAGTACCTGTTGTCTATTGGGCTAAATAAATCGCATGGACAGATGTTGCTGGATCGTAAATCAAAGGCTAATAATGGGTCTACCGTCAGTCCTGTAGGATTTTGGATTGAGCAACCGTAATGCCGGCGGCGCTGGAATAAGAGAGACTCGTTAGAGAAATTTTGGAAAAAGCGCTTAGGGCAATTGCGATTGCCGAGGTTTACTCGATATTGACGAATCGGCTGATGATCGTCAGAGGAAAATATGATATATTTTCGGTGTATAGGCAATGCACTGCTTATCATACTTGTACAATATTTACACGTCTTAATTTCGAAATCCCGTAAAATAGATTACACTGTCGAATTTTGTCACACTCTTAATTTATATTAATATAAATAATCGTGTATGTATAATATTTATATACGTGCTCGATGTACATATATGCTATATGTATAATATTTATATATTCGTATTTATATATGTATACTCGTTCGTCTATTTATCCGTTTCGATATATCATCGAATCCGGCAAGAAAAAGTTGGGGAAAAAATTATTATATTAAATATTTTTAGTCGTTAGGTATACTGGTATTTGGGATACGCTATTTACATACGTACTCGGATCCCTCCCGATAATTCGAGAGCTATTCGTTAAATAAACGCGGATAAAAATATAACAATTATTGTTAATTCATTCTTTCGTTCAATAAGTGGGCGCATCTTTGGTCGGTTGGCACAAGCACCGGTCAGTCTTCGGATCTATGTAAGATTATACACACTTCGTATTGGTAATTTACCTTAAATTCCTAACTGTAAGTTCATTTACACTTTCACGTTATTTACACTAAAAGAAAATCGATAAACTCCGACTATCGCCAAATATTTACACTAGAATAGGACTTACGCTCGTCTTGTGGACATTACTATTAGCTATTGTATCGCAGATCACGCCGTCTTTTAAATTTATCTATTTTATCTCCCCTCCCTTTCCCTTATCTTTGTCACTTTTTGATTATATCACTGGACTCCTATTGTCAATTAGAACCCCCGGCGTGACTCGCGTCCAGCGCGAATTTCCTATAAGACTCAATTCAGAATATCGAATCCGATAAGCCAGGATTTATTATGTTGCGTCAACGAAATTTAGATTATTCGAAAATTCTTCATTGACACTCAGCGCCAAGCGATTTTCTCTTGCTGAATGAAAAATGTTTCATACGAATAGTACACGCATTACGTATGATACGCATTCAAGATCTGTTACGTTCTTTGTTCAGAATAAAATAAATTGATAATACCAAGTGTCATAGACTCTACGTATAACGTATAACTGGGATTTTGCGTGTCCAGAATATCGAGCTTTCCCTCGGATAACTTAGCTTTCACTTGACGTATCGTTTATTCCTCTTTTTGGAGAACCGGAAAAGCCGAGGTCATCCTCGAGGGCTTCTAGAGCTTTGAGAAGTGCTAAGTCGGCACCTCGAGCACGGGTCAGTGAACGAATTGATGATGATGTGTCTCATGGTGATGTTGATGTGACGTGGCAAGCGGCGGCGTGGTACCTACCGGCACTGACGCGGCGACAGCAGTTGCATGAGAATGCGCGTGAAGAGCTTGGACAGTTCCTGGACTATATTGTTGGGAGTCTACGATGACGCTGGTGTAAGCCGGCGCTTCCAATGGATGTTCCAGGTGATGATGGGGATGCCGCGGTGCGGTATGATGTTCAGAGTGGCCCGGTGGATATGACTCATGATGAGGTATACCGACGGCGCTCTCTCCGTAGGAATTGTTATTATTATAGCCACAACTCGAGAACATTATGGCTTCCGGTTCGCTGACGTTGGTCGTGGAAGACGAGGATGACTCTAGGAGATGATGATGAGCGGGATATCCTGGTGGTAGGGAATGGAGACCCAGGGGACTTGGTAGATGCGTGTCGGAGGTGTCCGAACTGCCACAGGAATTCGAGGATGCCGAATATGGCCTCTTCTGTTGATTCTGAGGACTGTGCTGCTGCTGCAAGGTGGTCGCCGAGTACGGTCTCTTCCTTTCGCTCTGAGAACTGCTCTGATGTTGCTGCTGGGTCAGGCTCGAGTACGGCCTCTTCCTCTCGCTCTGAGTACCAGGCTGCTGCGGATGGATGGTCGCCGGCGTGTGGCCATGATGAAGTAGCTGAGGATGCTGCTGATGGTGGAAAGTCGACAGAGAGTCGTGATGTATACCTGGATAAAAAATCAAGGTGAACGATAAACATAACAACTGGATAATCTTTCGCAAAGATTTTTCCCCTCGAAAACCCTTACCTCCATACTGATAGAAGAGATCGGCCGGATAGTAAGCCTCGTCCTCGTGGCTGGTACTATTGGCACTCAGTGTCGGCGCATACGTCGAGGGTAGGTATTGCACGTAATCTGTTCCAGGATATCCGGAACTGTCCGTGTACTCGGTATCCGGTGGTTCGTTGGTTCTTCCTCTATAGGGCGGAGTAGGACTATGCTCGGCATCCAGATCGTGACTGCTTCCTGTTCCCGAGACACAGGTCGACAGGGGCGCACTCGGTGGGTTGCCGGGACTGGACGATGGAAACTTTTGCTCCGCATTGAGTATCAGATCAGCAGACTCCATTTCGGACAGCACGTAGTTCACGGACACGATGCAATGGGGTCTGGAGCTTCGTGAATTGTGGACTATCGTGGCGTAAGACTGCATCCACACCCAGCCGCCGGTCCTCGTAAGGAATCTGTAGTACCTGGTAGTGACTTGGCCCTTGGATAAGACTGCCGATCAGAAAATAAACGAAGCCACTGTCAATATACTTAAGGAAAAAGTGCATAAAGTGAAAATCCTTTACTGAGGTCGGGCAAAGAAAAATTTTTCTCCGGGAGGTAAAGGAGAGGAGAGAAAAGGAATATAAAAAGAAAGAATCTCTCTCCCGGTATCCCGTGCCGAACATTAGTGGCATTATGTCAGGCTCCCTTCGAGTTACGTTCGTGAAACTGCGAGTCTGTTCAAACAACGATAGCAGTAACAGCTCCTCCTCCTTCCCCCATGTCCCTCCAGTCCCTGTCCTCGTCCTCGCGGACTCGCACCCGACCCTGTACCTCCATCCCTGCGTCCCTCTCTCTCAAACCCCCACGCGACCCCTCCTTCTCCTCCCGGTCCCTGTGTTCCCTCTGTCTCACTCTCTCGCTCTGCGGTGCGCCCTGCCAGCATCCCAGCGTGGCTGCATAGTTCAATCAATAATATACACAACCCACATGCACGTAATACGTAGCAGGTAGATACTTAGCCCGGAATACAGATATATAAGCGTACAGGTATAAAAGCACAGAGGTACAGAGAGGCCAGGCGAAAGGCTCGTAAGGCTGATGCAAAGCCTGCAAAATACAAGGTACCACCCGTGCGCCGGAAGGAAGAGAAGAGTTCTCAGAGTAAAAGGGAGAAAGATGAAAGGACAGTACACGAGTAGCCAGAGTGTTAAGCAGTGTCAGCTGGTTTGAGCCGAGACGTTTTCTCGAGTGGGTAACCCTCAGAGATCGTGGACCCTGGAGGACGTACTCGGTGGGACGTACCGCAAAGCCCCGGCGTCCTCTCAGCTCATTTCCAATACCTTGACCAGCACGAAGGAGCGATCGAAAGTCGTAAGGAACACAAAAAGAGGGCCAGTACTCACGTATTCGATGAGCTTGTTGCATCTGCATCAGGTCGCAGCCATGAACGTATCGATAGAGCGTCTTCTCAATGAGATCCTGAGGCTCGTAACCGGTGAGCTGGGAGACCCTGTAAGAAAGTGTCAATTTAATGCTTTAATATTAAAACACAGAAAAGCGGAAGAGAAGGAACCAGCCGACGTAGCGGAGAGCGGTAAGTTGCGGATGAAAAAAAAATGTCAAAGTGCCAATCGATTTATTCAGCCTGTGTACAGAAGCGAGAGCAAACGTAACGTAGGTGAGCATCTATGTGCATTATAAATCTATGGATATATATATAGATATGCTTTACAGCACATGGTCATTCCCAGTCGGGATATCGTTGGGTTTGCCAACAGCGGATTTTTATTTGTCTCCAATAAAACAAAAAAAAAAAGCACACAGAGCTCTCGTAACACGAGACTGATTTTAATGGCTGGCACCAACTCCCTCCCACTGAGCCACCTACTTCTCTTCGACCTCCCCCCCGCCCGACGTTCCTACTTCAGCTCACGGTCCCTCCTGACTCTTTTCTTTTTTTTTTTTCTCTATCGAAATATTAATGGGTGCAACCCAACACCGGTTTGTAATTACATCGAAAATAAATTCTCCCGGTTCACCCTGTTCTTGCTACTTGGTTCAGCCGCCGATTGTGAATCTCCCTTGAGGACGCGTCTGGCTCTTTCGCCTGTCCCACGGAAAAATTGGACTTACCTAGCGTCTAGGAATATAAGCTTGAGATCCAGAGACGCCCTGAACATGAACATGTTCTGATGCAATTTTATCTCCGTTATCGCGCTCGGCGGTAACGAGTGACCCACAGCCACGAGGCCGACGTTCTGTATGCAGCCCGTGTCCTCGTATTCGGATCCCACTGGGCTCGGCAGATTGAACTGTTTCACCTTCAGGTATCCCGAGCAGTGTATCACCTGCAAGAATTATAGACAAACATTAGGTATAGCACGAGACCATATATGTATATTTCAGCTACGGTCCATCGGTAGCTGCAGCTGCGGGCCAGAGTCACTTGCAGATGCAAGAGACAAGTGGCGCCTCTCGACTCGCGAGGCGAGGGCGAGAAGCGTAAAGAACACGCGCGGCAAATTACCAATTCGGTGGTAATTGAATAGTCAATGAAAGAAAAGTGCGTATAGGGTGACAAAGGAGAGCGGGCGCGTAATTTGTGAAGCAAATCGTGCATCGTCACGCGTGTACGCGCATTCCGGTGCACATGTGGCTTCGCGGTTGGATAAGGGCGGAAAAGAAGAAAATTAAAAATTAATTTGAGTCAAGGGTACCTCGGATACGCTCGTTTGATAAAATTATACTTCGCGGAGAGATCGTGTGTGCGTACAGTCAAGTGAATACGTCACGTGTGAGCATATGGATGAAATGACAGAACACGCGTGTAATCTATATGGGAATACCTACCCGCGTCTCCCGCGTGATTACTTGCTTATATGTATACTCGACGGCTCGGTTGCTCCCCATGGATACGCGCAGAAAAGCCAACTACGCTTTTGGCTTTGTACGCTAAGTGCCATACAAAAAGTACCCCTCCGCTTGGTTAACAGCTTATAGGGGGTCGGCATTCATGACTCTGCCTAACGCCATGGGGTTTTTGTGTCTGCGATTTCCTCGAGGACCATGGTCAACCTAGCGTTGCGGCTCGAGCGAGCTATTTGCCAAACACACTTATTTCTTTTGATGGGGCCGCCGGAGGGGGGATGGAGTTTCCCTCTATCTTGGCTTCTATATCCCATAGCGTGTCGACGCAATTATCTTTTCACGCTGTTAAGAACAATCGAGGCTACGCATTGGATACTAAAGTTCGCACAATTGTTCAGGATCGTAGACACGCTTAGTAAGAAATACATTAAAAATTGCACAACTGTCGGCGAGAATGGTAAAGTGCGATGCGCGAAGGAGTGAGAGAAAGAGAGAGAGAGAGAGAGAGAGAGAGAGAGAGAGAGAGCTAATATTGTTATTAGAGGGATGCAGCGAGAGGCAGAGAAACGAATTTGAACGGTGCGCGCAGCTACCTGGTGGCCGTTTTACTTATGGACTCGGCGCGTGACCGAGACAATGCTGTCCCTACTTAGGCAACCATCCCTTATCTTTTATTGAGTATTTATATTTTTATTCGTTTTACGATTTCCTGTACCGTGAGCAAGAGCAACTGTTATGCTAATGCGAAATCGGCAAAACTTCACACTAGTCATCCCTATTGCCTTCGCTCTCATTGTTCAGCTCGACCAGGAGGAAGTAGCCAGGAGCATTGTGGAAGCCAATAAAACAATAATCTGTTAGCGTGGCTTCCGAATTTACGTAATAGAAATTTGCGGTCGTCAGGGACTGTTATTGACCGTTTCCATGGTTACCTTGAATCCCGCGGCCGTCAGTCCGGCGTTCCTCTTGGCGAGGACGCACTTCATCCTCAGGAAGAAAACGCGCTCCAATTCGATTTCGCCGCGGGCGTTCGCCGCCGGTAAAGGAAATCCACCGTTTCCGGAAGACGCGTGACTTAGACTGAGAACAGCCGCCATTTCCTCGTGGTCCCATTGATGAATGTATTCGTAAATGCTATTTCCGGTTAGTTCCACCTGCGATTGAATACGGAATTGACGTTAGTAAAAATATTTTACAATAATTATATAATACGGATAAAATTAAAAATTTGGGAACGTGTCTGACCTGCGAGAGACCCAGATGCACGCTGGCCGTTTCGCTGATGTACATGATCTTCCCGTCGGGCGCCACCACGAAAATGAATCCGTCCAAAGTCTAAAAAGTCAAAATTCATACTGACTCGTGGCGTTCGTTATAAAGATAAATTGCAGTACCTAAGAGGACTAAGGATTTTGATTTTTCAATTTTACAAAATTTCCATCTTACCGGAGGACAAGACAGGCAATTACTTACTTGTAAGAGACATGATCCCAGCTCCTTGATGCTGGCTTCGCGTGGGTTGCTCGGGGGTGGGGTCGCGCCCCAAAAATCTCCTAGACCTGAAATATTTATCAGTCATGTTAAAAATGGACCGTCGCACGTATCGGGTTAAAATTAAATATTTCCACGATCACCCGAATGAAAATAGGTCACTGAATTTTACATGCGGTACACATGGATATTTTTCATACGTGAATATTTTCCGCCACATATGGCTAAGCCTTTTATGCACGCGTACGTGTTCGTGCATTCATTACGAATAGCACCGGGAATATAGTATAGGAGTTCCGAGTAAAATTGCCTGATTAATAGTCTTTCCTAGGATTAAATAATATCAGGCACTTTGGTGATAATCATTAACCAAGCGGATTACTATGATTGGGTCTATCGATCTTGTGGGAATCATTACATATTTCATACACCTCGTTACCAGTGAAATGCGATGTTGATAAATTGTCAATATTAATATTACCGAGTAGTCGCAGTAAATGCAAGTTATCAGTCTTTGCAGAATTAACCTGAAGCATTATTTTTATGGCGTTTTTTCTCTTCGGAGTATTACACATGACGTTTCTTTTTTTTCTAGCCAGAAAGACTATGAAAAATATATAAAGAAGAAGGAAAGAGGATCTGGTGACAGTAACACGTGAAATTTCATTTGTCACGTATTCCGGGGCACGCTTTGCTCTTATCTGATCGACCGGAGGCTGGACGGACGTCTGAATGAGAAAAATCTTGGAATTTATATTGAATAACACATGCTCGGACTATAGGATGTTTGGGAATGTCGACGTTGAGATTTTTCGTAAAATATTCGAAAATATATCAACATATAACATCGGAACTTCGTGAACCTGAAATTTGTCAAATTTAATTTTTTTTTTTTTCTAAATTGCCAGAATTTCAGGAAGACATGTCAGCCAAAAGAAAAAAGGTAAAAAAGTTCGTGAGACTTAACGATTCGGGAAATAGGGTATACGGAGTGGCAGGGGTGCCGAGACGTTTTTTTTTATTCACTTCTTTTTTCTTTCCGTGAATAAAGACGCGCCTTACCGTAGAGGGATGCAGCCACTTGAAATTCAATTCGCCGATCCCTCGCGGGGGCTATTGTAACACTATAACAGCCCCCATGCTTTGCTTACAAAGCACCAGGGCTAACAATGCATTAAGTGCGCAATCACACCCATCTCATCCGATACTATTTGCCCTTTGCGCGTAAGTGTCTGGTCGTTGAATTAACAAAAGCAGACATATAGAGAGACAGAGAGAAAGAGAGAGAGAGAGAGTAGCAGGTATCTATCTTATCGACTAACATCGATAGGCTAATTGATAAGGACGAAAGAGAGAAAAAAACTATTTTTCGCTTACCGTCCGGAAAGAGCTCTCTGAGCTTCAAGTAACTCGTGGTCAATCGAATTATGCTGGCCTTGTCGAGCTGCGTCGTGATGGCCGCCGGAAGCGGAAGTAGCTTAGCAAGCTCAAAGAACTCTTGATTCTCCTTCTCGCGACGCGTTCGCGCCGCGTTCTTGCTTTTCTCTTTCATCACAACTTCCTGGGGACCGGACGAGACCAGGCCACCAGCGCCGATTATCGAATTCTCTTTGTGATGTTGGTGGGAGCTCAGATCCACGGTGTCTGAAGTAGGACTGCTTCCTGAAATCAAGATAAAGATCCAAGGTCCATTAATTCATTAATACTAAACGTAAGGTATATCGTTCATAAAAAAAAAAAATCATTCCCGTGCGTCCCGGTAAAACTTATGTCGAATAGCCAAAATTACGAAAATCGCTAAGAATATAATTGATCGACAAATCGCCCTCGGACCATACTGTTTAATGTCCAGCGCGTGGGTGGGCAGCCCTTAAGTCGCACGGTAGGATAAAGAAACGTTATCGAAATGGATACAGCAATAATACGAATCGGAATTGAGTTATGTTTCCATGGCGTAAAATGATTGCTATCGGTATACATACAGGATGAATTAAGTTAACTGCGCTACGCCTAGTGTTTGCCTGCTCCCCCTTACAGCGTTTCTTTATTATAGAGCTTCGGATATATCTGTCGGTAAAGAAGAACCAGTTACCGATCGCGTCGTCTCGCCGGTACACTACGGCGAGTAAACATTGCACCACCCAGAAACAGGATAGCGCTAAGAGCAACGTAGATTTGCGTAACAACAACAACGAAGCGACCCCCTATGTACGTGTCTCTTAGTGATACCCAGGTGTATCGGGATACCAAGGATCTTGGGATGATCCGTAAAGTTCCTGAGTCAGTAAAAAAAGGATAAATTAATGTCACAGAAAGAGCGAGAACGAAGCTGCTCGTTACACGGATGCAAAAAGCAAAGGGAGCAAGCAAGCCGTCATTAAAGTGACGCCAAGAGAGCATTCTAACGACGTACCTAACCATCCGTGAGACTTCTCACGAATGGAAATTTCCATTGAATAATGCATTTTTTTACATCGCGGCTCCAGCAGTCGTGCGGAGACACGAACCGTCTCCTATTGTTTCTTGTTAGAGCAGCGAGACGACCGTGTACCGGCGTGCAGGAAAGGTTTCGCGGTAGTGCGGAAGAGCCGCGTACCCGCAGTGCCATTCCGCATCGCGGAAACGCAACGATACCAAGAAACGACCAGGCGAGAATAAAGGGTCGCGGGTTGCGCAAACGGCGTCAATGCCGTCACTCGTCTTTCGTACCGGCTGGCCGGGCCTCGTCTCTTCTAACCTCTTTAGCGTTGCTGGTGGCGGCAGCTAATGCAAGCTTCTCTTATACGATTACGACTACACCCGTTTCCCGTTCCGAGAACAACGCGGTAAGGTTGGCCGCCCTTATTGCACTACCGGGAAACTCGCAAGCTCTTCCTCGCCAGAAACCGTCTCCTCTTTCTCTAGCACGATTTCTATAGGCGAGAAGAAAACAAGCCAACCGTCCAATGACGTCACGCCGCGTTTGTTCTAACCCCGAGACACGCGTTACGACGAAAATAAACACTGATAAAATACAATAAGATCATTATGGCCTGTCCGGTTTGATGTGGGATCGGTCGTGAATACCTTTGTGCGCAGCCTGCCTTCGCCTCCAACTGTTGATGTAGGGATCGCTGTTCAGGATCGCGCTGCCTCCGCGTCTCTGATTCTCGATCATGGGTGCCATTTTGGTTCCGGACTCTTAATGACTTCATAAACTCCCCTCGCGACGCTTGATCACATAGGTATACTCGACACACGTCGCCACTGGATCGGAGACACTGAACGTTTACGAACGTCAAAATCGATTGTCGATATCGACAAGAGAAATACGTGGGCGAGCGGAACAGGTGTGAGGATTTCGGAAACGGGAGATCGTATCTTCTTTTCTCACGTCTGAATGAATCTTCCCGCTTCCTCAAGGCACTTAAACAAATATATATATGTCAAAGCAGGAGCGCACCAGTCCTGCTCGGCAAGTTGCCGCTGGCACTTCAGTTTCGACGACTGTCTGTTCCTGGCACTCGGAGCGGGCTTGAGCGTGCTGAACTCACCCCCCATGTCGTTTCTCCTGGTTGGCGATAGGGTGGTACGGCGAACGGGGACGAGGGGATCTGAGGTGGGGTAGTCAGAATATAGGAGGTACCCACCCTTATTTTAAGCTCCACCCTCAGCAGGGTCAGTCGCAACCGGAGAGCCTGAACGTCGTCTGCGTGTGGACACGTGGGTGGGTTACCTAAGCTTGAGGTCTGCTAGGTAAGTGTAGGTTGTTGCTTTCTGAGGTGGGGAGGAGTACGGTGAGAAGCTGAGGTCGGGGCGGAGGGGGCCTGCCGGAGGTGGCTGGTAATAGTGCAGGACGGAGAGGCTCTTGGGAAAGCCCCAGGGTGATTCCCGATGAGGTAGGAACAACGGGTGGCAAAATCGAAAGTAAAGGCGATTGCTGGTGGCTCTACTGTTCCGTTGACGAGCGCCCCAGGGTTCCCCAGCGCTAGTTTATATGCGTCTTTGCTGGTATTAAATACACCCCTAGGATGGCCATAAAATCGAAGGATTTTCTCAGCACTCGCCTTTCGGAATTGTCCGATCTTTTCATGTCGTGACGAAAATACGGAAGGAATTTTGACAAACGGAAAATAGTCGTTGAGGTGAGAAAACGCGTGAGAAAATCAAGGGAGGTCGGATTCACGAATTTTCGTCCAGATTTAAATAATCGTGCTTATCGGTTCTTCCATGTTTTTTTTTTTTTTTTTTTTTTTTTTTTTTTTTTTTTTTTTTTTTTCCTAATTAGATTCTCGCAAACAGGTTACAACCTGACTTTTACAACGTGACCGATATGCCAGCCACCTTGCGGACCTCGGAGGTTCTCGACGTGCATTACTGGGAACATGTGTTCCAAACGTGTCGACCTGCGTGAAAACCTGCCGGGAACCCATAGTGAAAATGTTTACAGGAAACACGTGGTGCTGTCAATTTCGACTGTCCGGTGTTCTTGCACCTCGCACCGCACCTTTCCACTTTCGAGCTCTCAGTTTTAAGTTTCGTTAAGGTGCATTTCGCGCAGGTAGACAAATCTAATACGAAACATGTGTTTTCCTTGAACCTTTCACCGTTTACCAGCATTCCCAAATACGTTTCCCTGCTTCTTCGCTCTATACCTTTTCCTTAAGACTGGAAGATATAACGGTGCGACAAAACCCTCGGCAGGGCCTTTGCGCACCACGTGTATCTACTTGGACTGTTTGTTTAACTTGTTTCGGCTGGCAACAATGGATGCCTCTCGTAGAAGGTGCACCGACGCTTTTTCACCTCCAGGTGTGATTGCGTGACGACACTTGAAACTTGATAGCGCAATTGATGCACCGGAATGCAGGACGACATCGCGATGCACCGAACCTGCAGTAGGAAGCGACTGAACGTATCGAGTAAATTGACTAAAATATCAGATCAATCCTGATAGCCAAATACAATTTAAAAGCCAATCACTCTGCCCGCTGTCAAATAATTAACCGAAGATTCCATTTAATCGTGGGTTTAAGCTGAATACCCTGGACATTTCCAGAACATTCTTCCACTCGCCTACATTGAAATTCTTAGAACCACGAAAACACGTGTTAAAAAGGTAAAATTAAGTATGCTCACTAAAACTGACTATACGACGATAAGTACCAAAATAATAAGAGCACGTTAAAACAGAGATAAACAAAACAGAAAAAACTGCTTACAATAATAACAATAACGCCTCAACATGTATTCCTGAAAAATCATCCCCATCTTGCGCATATCTTCACCAAACAAGAATTTCGCGAATCTCAAACATTTCGGTACATGAAAATTTCAACCTCCACCAACCCCCTCCATTTCCCACGCATCAAGCACAAAATCTAAAGAAATACCCTAAATCCAAAAAAAAGATTTTGAACTCAAACTTTGACTGGTCAAAAAAAAATTTTCACGAGCCTCAAAATAAATCATTCGATTTGCTCCGTTGTCAAAGAGTTCAGCTTTGTGGGTCAGCCCGTCAGACGCAACAGTGATACCAGAATCCATTCGTGCACAGTACATGCATATATAGTCGCAAGGCAGTACACACCGGTACACAGAAGCCGTGGGTGATCCTGGCGTTAAGGGGGGGTGTCAGATTTTGTCTAGTTCGTGACCGAGTGAATGGATGCTTCGAGGGGCGCGAGTCCGCAACTCTGTCGCGGCTTAACACGCCTCACCTACATTCGTCTCGTTCCGTTCAGTTTCGTTTCTCTGGAGCAGCGTACTACCAAAATCCTCTCCCTCGTCGCTGACTCGCAGTGACGTTACCGGTAACACCCCTGCAGTCCCTCATCCACACCCCCGGCACGAAAGAGACAGAGAGGGTCTTTGGTACCTAACACGCGCGATTCATCATCCCGAATAGCTCACTGGAATCCGTTCGGTTATTCTTTTCGGACAGGGTGCGTGTGCTCGCGCATTTTAACACGCCGGAAGGTAAGGGCTTTCCTCCAGGTCTTTGCTGCTCCTGAGAAATATCTATACATAGATTGGGATAGGTCCAAGTGTCTACACTTTTTGCCACCCCCCCTTTCCCCCCTTTCCCCATATTTTGTAGTCGTCAATGCACATTCCAATGGAATGTAGCAACTGGGAACAGCATTACTTCTACCTACTCGCGTATACCGATTTCATCCAAAACAATCGTCCTGCGTTCCGGGTGTTCCTGGGCTCTTGCCGTTTTAGCCTTCTTCGTCAAGAATTTCTTCTCGAGACGTAAACGAAAGAAAATCGTGAAGCGGATGGCCCAAATTATTAGCATACTCCGTGTCCTGGCATTCGGCAGGAAGTTTATGCCGAAAGACACCGTATAGCTCCTATAGTCTCTTCCAGATACGTAACCCCCATCGTACTAAAAGAACAAACAGCCGAACATAACCTATACCTCAACCCCTATAACTTCCCTCGTACATCCACGGATACAAACTATTTCGCTCTCGCTCCTAGTCGTTCGCATATCTTCAGCTCTCTCTCTCTCTCTCTCTCGCTCTCTTAGGTTTTATCGTCTCAGCCAAGAAATCCAATTTGTTGTTTGCCACTCCACGTTATGAAAGGGACGACTTGAGCAATCGACTCGTACGATACTCGCGTGACGTAACGTATGAATTTACATCGACGTTCGATCCCACAAGTGGAAAAAGTCATTCCCCACGCTGAGCAACGGTAACAAGTAATTTTCGAGATATCGAAAGTAGTGAATTTTCAAAAATATTTTAAAGCCCCATTCACACTGCATCCACCTACGAACGTTTCGCAAACACTGAAAATAATACACGAATCCCCATAGTATATTCAAAAGGACAAAATGTACACATATAAATTTAGTGAATATTTCATATACCGCGTGACCTATTCTTATGCATCGGTCTCTATGTACCGCCACATAGAAAATGCCGGACTAAATCCGATGGAACTTGGTCCTGTACAGCTAACACCATTAAAGCTCTTACAATCCCGCTAATTCAGTTAATCTACGTGCTTAGCAAAAACTCGCGCGTCCAACGTATCAACCCCTACAGCTATATAAAAGATAAACGCCGTAGACACGCGCGAGCAGAGGGAATCTCCGGTCCAGGGAAGGAAACCCGAGAGAAATTACGCACGTGCGTACACAGGGTGCGTAACCTCATAGGCGTACGGAATGCACGAAATAATAATGCACGCAGCTATAGTACTGGGCTCGGCTGAACGGCATCAGGCAAGGGAGCACGCGTAAATCTCGACAAATATTATCTCTTAGGTCTCGTCGTACGAGCTTGTACTTATTAAATAAAAAAAAAAACAATAAACGATACCAGGCAGCGTTATTCATATTGAAATACAACGAAAGAAAAACGTACAAACAAATGAGAATTTCAGGTGAGAATTAAAAAAAAAACGAAACCCCTAAATTGATACGACCGATCGTTAAATATTTTTTTGACGATTCCGAATAGCCCCCCTGCCGAAGTTAAAAACCGCGTTGAACGCTGAACGGGTCAGGGTGAGCCTGCCGTAAGAAAGTAAACCGGGAAGCATGTTCCCCTTGCATTGTGCTGACCACGTATGCTTATGTCTCGTCGGGCTGAGCCTATCTCGGATCGAGCAGCCTGTCGTGTGGGTAGCGGCGGTCGTGTCGAGTGTGAAGTGTAGACGGTACAGGAGGCCGTGGCGAGTCGTCGGAGTGGCTACACTACGTGTCCCGCTTACTTACAATGTCGTTCGTTAAACGCAACAAACACGAGAGCGCGGGTGGCGCGGAGTGCCGGAGGGAGGTGGCGGAGCCAGAGAGCCGGGTCGGAGGAGGATAGAGGCAATGAGAGGGAGTGAGACAGAGAGAAAGAGCAAAATGATCCGAGAACGCGACGCGTAATCCTACACGTTGTTGCCCGAACGGACTCCCCCATAAACGGAGCGTAGCCATTTTTGCAAAACGTTTTCCATGGCGCTTTGGTCTCGCTACACTTTTCTTCGCTCCGCAAGTACGAGGAACAAACGATTTACGTATTTCTGTCATCGGAGCCGCGAAACTGTTGGAATATCGAGTCTGGTTAATAAGCGTGTAGGAGGAGCCGTAAGAGTGCGCAGTACGACCCCCCTCTTGCAGGGATGAGAAATAACAATTAGTGTAACAGCAAATCCGCCTCCCCTCGTCCCACGGTGACACAGCCTAACGACCCTCCATTCAAGGGTCAAAGTGTCGCGGGGGTGCGGAGACGCGTGTGCGTCTTCCTGGTACGTGAGGGAGGAGTCTCTATATATATATATATATATATATATATATATATATATATATATATATATATATAAGTCGTATAAGCACACACGAAGAGGTTCCAGGATTATGAGATACAGGATGGGGTTGACGGGGAGTGAGGAATTCTCCGGCATGCATGCTCGAGGGGTCGAAGGGGGGGGGG